CTGAAGTCTGGGTGGAAGACAACATGCTCCCCCCTCCCCAGACTGGCTAAACATCAAGCCCCAGTGATAATAAAACTCAAACCAGGCACCATTCCAGTTAGAAAGAGCCAGTACCCACTACGGATAGAGGCCCGGGCCAGCGTACTGCCCCACATCAATAGATTGAAACAAGCAGGCGTTCTAGTAGAGTGCCAGTTGGCTTGGAATACGCCGATCCTGCCAGTCAAAAAGGAAGAAGGACAGGACTATAGGCCTGTACAAGATCTCAGGCTAGTCAACCAGGCTACTGTGACTTTACACCCCACTGTTCCAAACCCCTATACCTTACTTAGCCTCCTCCTGCCGAGGACTGAAGTTTATACTTGCCTAGATCTCAAGGATGCCTTCTGCAAACGCCTCACCATAGCCCATCTTTGCCTTTGAATGGGAAGATCCAGTCAGGGGCACCAAACAACAGCTCACCTGGACCCCCCACTAGGGTGTAAGAACTCCCCAGCCATCTTTGGGGAAGCCTTGGCTTCTGACCTGGACTCATTCCATCTGGAAGAGTATGGGTGTTGGCTCCTACAATACGTGGATGACCTGCTGCTGGCTGCCGAGACCAAGGAAAAAGGTTGGGAAGAGACAAAAGCACTGCTCCAGCTGTTGATGGAAGCAGGTTACTGGGTGTCAAAGAAGAAGGCACAGATCTGCAAGGAGGAGGTAAGGTATCTGGGGTTTGTTTTAAAGGAGGACAAGGTTCCAGACCCTAGTTGGGTCCTATATACTGATGGCACTAGCCTGATAAAACAAGGACAATGGCTGTCAGGTTAGCCAAAGTGGAAGGGGCCATAAAGACTGAAAAGAGATGGTGGGAATTGCCAAGTGGCAAATTATTGGTACTGGAGGAGCTGGCACACACTCTGGTAATCCAAACACACCAAGCGACCCACCTAGACCATGCTGCCTGCTCATAGGTTAATGCTGCTTCTCACATATTCAGACAAAAACCTCCGGGTATTCAGCTGAAAGGCACGCTGCCCCTTGAACACCTGGGAGTGGACTTCACTGAAATGAAACCTCACCGACACTACCATTACCTGCTGGTCATGGTATGTACGTTCTTGAGATGGGTAAAAGCATTTCCTACCTGGACTGAAAGACCATCAGAAGTAGCCTGGTGACTGTTTAGGGAAATAGTTCCCAGATTAGGATATCCTACCAGCATTGGATCAGACAATGGCCCGGCTTTTGTAGCTGATTTAGTACAAGTAAGCAAAACTTTAAACATCAATGGAAACTGCACACTGCATATAGGCCCAGAGTTCTGAGATGGTGGAATGAACCAACCTGACACTTAAAGAGACTCTCCAAGTGGATCAGAGAGACTGACTGCTCCTGGGTGGACTTGCTTCCGACCACTCTGCTCAGACTCAGGATGACCCCACAGACCCAAGGCTATTCTCCATAAGAAATTGTGTATGGGAGTCCCCCTCCCATAATAAAACAGGTGTCAACAAATTTGCCTCAGGTAAGGGGGGATAGGATTTCGCAGCAGATGGAACTGGGTAAGGTAATAAATTGGGTAACTAAGTTTGTACAAGAAAGGGTGCTGTTCCCCTTTGGGGAACAGATTCACGAGTTTACGCTTAGTGACCAAGTATGGGTCAAAGATCGGAAACTTGATTTACTAGCCCCTGGGTGGAAGGGCCCTTATACTGTTATTCTAACTACCCCTACTGCAGTTAAAGTTGCAGGTATTGCCCCTTGGATCCATCATACGAGGGTGAAGAGAGCATACCACGCAGATCCAGAAAACGCTGAGTGGACTGCACAGAGGGACCCCGCCGACCCTTGAGAGACTAAGATCATCCTTAAGAAGAAGGCAAAGAAGATCCCAGAGGAGCCCCTTGAGGATGAAGCCTCATAATCAACTTCTGCTGCTTGGTCTCATCAACGTGCACATTCCTACGTCAACTTCCACAATAGCTCCAACTGTTGGGTATGTGGGGCTATGCCTGTCTATGATGGATGGACTTCCCTGGTGGCTGTCACCGCTCCACCAAGGAGATTTTAAACCACTCTGCTCTTTTCTGGGACACAATCATAATCTCTCCCTGCTCTCTGGGTGTAAGCCAGACCTAGTCAATAGACTCAGGTCATAGGGTTGTATTTGATATAAATGCCAGTGTAACAAAAGCCTAACCTGCAACAAGCCCCGGTAAATCTACCTTATTTACATGCTAGGTGGACAAGACCTGTGTTTCAATGGTATGAGTATATTGTTGCCTTATTCATACCCTCTATAGGGACAACAGATATTATGATTAAAGTAGAGGCCTTGACTAATTTCACAAAACAGGCCCTCCTAGATAGAACAAAAGCCATTCAAGCCTTAAATGAAGAGCAAATCCAAATGAGAAAAGTGGTGATTCAAAATAGAGTGGGTTTGGACATACAGCTGCTCAAGGAGGGACCTGTGCTATAATTAAGGTTAAATGTTGTGTATGGATTCCTTATCTGGTAATGTATCACTGCTTTAGATGACATGAAAAACCAGGTAAAAGCAATGTCAAGTGAAAACATTCCTTTCTGGACTTTGGTCCTATCTTGGGTGAAGGGCGATTGATGGAAAACTACATTTACCATTGTTATAGTTACCTTGATATTTCTGCTTTGTGGACCCTGAATTTTACAATGTATTATGAACTTTGTAACCCGAAGGTTGATGTCATTCTCCCAAATTGGTGGTCGGAGAGCCAGGGTGCAATATATCCTTATGAAGATGCTCATAATATGAGTTAAGAGCATCAAGAGGGGGGAATGAAGGAGGAAACAGACAGAGCTGGACTCCATCTTAGGCCAGGGTGCGAACAACAGGCTACACGCATGGTCACCCTCCCAGTGGACTCTGAACTTTGTGCCTGGTGTATATACAAATGGCAAACCAATGGAAAACCAGACCCCCGGATAAAAGAGCCTCAGGACTTGTACTTGGACTCTCTGTTGCCTAAAAGAATATGCTAATTATCTCTGTAACAGAACAAAGTGGTAAATTCCATTATGTTTATCCGGATAGACCACAGGCCTATTGATAAATATCCACTGTTTATCTAGTCTTGTGACACATAAATCATGGGTTAACTTTGATCGTATCTCTCGTTTACCTTGTCCAGACTAGTTTCAAGGAATCTGGGGAGGTGGGTTTGAGCAAGTACACTTAGGGTATATAAGGTTTTCACAAAAACTGGTCAGGGTCCTTGGTTAAGAGGAGACTCTGCCTTGGGCCCGCCGGTATAATAAACTGCACTCCACTATCTGCATTGTTCTTCTGAGTGAGTTTGTTTCCTGGAACGTGTGGCTACAACATTGACAGGTTGCATCCTAGACTATTTGAACCCCTCACCTGAAAACCCTCATTTTTCTGGTATTCATTCTAAATTATTATATCATAACCCTTCCCAACCCTAACTAACCCCTGTTCCTACCCTAGCATGCAAAGACCTGCTTTAAACCAGATTTCAAAGTCTTAAGGAATGTTGTGGCCTTACTTATCTCCCTCTGAAGTGTTATCAGACTGTCAAGGGATAAGTAATAAACTTGGCTTTGGGAGGTACAGGGTTAAGACTTAACAAACTGGAGGTCCAGTGGTTAAGACTCCGCACTCCCAATGGAAGGGGCATGGGTTCCATCCCAGGTCAGTGAGCTAAGATCCTGCAGGCTGCATGGCAAGGTGTGAAAAAGAAAAAAATTCCACCAGGTAAATTTGAAGATCTAATTGACTTTATTCAACATTCACGAATCAGGGATCAGAAGTCATCCCATTTAACAAGCAGACAGGCCCTCCAAGGAAACAAATGATCTTTTATAGAGACAAGGTGTTTATCAGCAAAAGAAAAGAAAGAATTGTTTCAGGCAAGGTGACCTGGTCACCTTCCCTTTGGGGCGAGGAAGGGCAGGGATCTTATCCAGCGGACTACCTCCTCACTAGAGTGGATCAGGGAAATTCCAGACTAATTGGTTTAAATCTCTGCTCCTAGGAGAGGCTGAAACTTCAACTAGCTTAGGTGTTGTGTTTTGGTTTTGCTAAAGGTGGCTCCGCACAAGGGACTCCATCTGGAGTCGATTTAAAGCGACCTCCGTGAGCTCCTTGTAGCTCCTCCCTGAGTCCAGGTAACCCCTATCATTTGCATAAGTGGCTCGTGTGTTTTCAGAGAAGTGCATTTGGGGAACACACTTGGGGTGGGGGTGGGGGGCAACTGTTCCCGGCGCACAGTTCTAGAAGCTTGCTCTCCTCAGGTGCAGGATCCTGGGGTTTAAATCAACTACCAACTGATCTGCTAAAAGAAGTGGAAACCCAGCCTGCATTAACGCCAGACCTCAGCTCTTCTCGTTAGTTGCAGGAAAAGGATGTCTTTAGGTGCGGCTGCTAAAATCCGAATGTGCCTTGGCCTCTAACTGTTGACTGAGGGAATAATAAAACCAGCCACATGTGGCCTTGTCACCTTGGCCTGGAGGCCTAATTTAGTAATCTCGCTCGGGCAGGACTAGACCTGCCGCGGTTGCGGCGGTGTCCTCGCCCCGCCACCCGCATCCAGGCCCGCGTGGAGTTTCTGCTGTTTCAACCCTCGCTCCCTCTGTCCCGCCGGCCGGCCGCCCGCGTGGAGAGAGCTCAGCCGCACACCCCAGCTCGCCCGCGGCACACTCACACACACATCGCCCCGCTTTTCTGCGCTCGGGAGGTGCGTGCCCCCCTGCCGGGACCCGCTCTGGGCTCTGCAAGCCGAGCGGCGCGCGCCCCGCTCCGTACACTGCGCTCGGCCCAGCTCGGAGTTGAACCACAAACAGTGTCCGGTTTCCTGTCCTCATCACCCAGCCCCCCCGCCCCCCAACGCCGCCGCTCCCGCCCCGTTTCCCTGGCCCCTCCCTTTCCCCCGCCCGATCCGCCCGCCGGCTCCTCCTCCCCCTATCCCTAGGGTCCCGGGATGGGGGGCCGGTGAGGCATGCACAGCCCCCGCCCCATGGCCACCCGTAGGAGCCAGAGCCGGAGGGAGCGCCGGGGGGAGCCGGGCACCGCCCTGCTGGCCCCGCTCGTGCTGGGCCTGGGCCTGGTGCTGGCCTGCCTCGGCCTCCTGCTGGCCGTGGTCAGTCTGGGGAGCCGGGCATCGCTGTTTGCCCAGGTGAGGCCCGGCTGCACACCCCTCCCTGGGACTGTGCCGAACATCTGATGGGGCTGGTGCGCAGGGGGGAAAAGGGGCCAGGAAGGTGGGTGGAGGGTGAGATGTCAGGTTGAGAAGGACAAGGTAACGCTGCCTCCTTCCCAGCAGGAGCCTTCCCAGAGGGACCTGGTGGCAGAGGAAGACCCGGACCCGCTGGTGAGTGCGGGGTGGTGCTGGCTACATGGTTGCTGGGCATGGGAAGTGTGCCCTGCTTGTGCCAGCCATGTGTGTGGGGTGTGTGTGCATCAGCCCTCTCATGCCTGGGTACATGAGAGCGTGACAACTGTGTGTAAGGGGTTTGTGCCCCCTTGGTGTCACCCAAGTATGAAGTGTTTATTGGCTGCGGGGGGACGTGGGAGTGTGAGATGCAGGAGCCTGCTATGGAAGAGAGATGCTGGCTGTGTGTGCAGGGTGTGTACTCATTGTGCATACTGACTGGGTGTGGGCGTGTGAGTGATGTACCAATTGCTGGTTGAGGGGAGCGGACTAGGGGGATGTGGCTGGTCTTGGGGAGAGGGGTGAGGGCTGAGCCCTGACCCCAAGAACTTGCCTCCCGTTGGCCTCGGTCACTCTTGGCTGAGGGATTCCGTCCTCTTGCTCGCTGGGCCTCTCTTGACGGGCCCCCTGTCAGGCCCCCTGTCGGTCTTAGTTTGTGTCTCCTGGAGTCCCTGGTGAGATCCTGGCTTAGCTCTGCCCTTAACGCCCTTAGGACCTGAACCCCCAGCCCGAGGAAAGCCAGGATGCTGTTCCTTTCCTGAAACTGGTTCGGCCTCGCAGAAATGGTGAGCAGCCCTTTATCCCAGCCTTAGGAATCATAATATCATGGTGGCTTCTGGACTCACTGTCGGTTTTGTTCATCATAACAGCCCTGTGAAGCAGCAGAGCAAAATCCATTATCCTTGCTTATGGGCAGAGAAACTGAGGCACAGAGAGTAAAAGGGGGGTTCGGAGTCACAGAGACTCAAACCTAGAATTCTGAGCTTCCCTCTGAAGCTCCTTCCATTGCATAGACCTGCTTCTCACTCAGACCCCACCCTGAATATGAAGGCGGGTGGCCAGGAGTTAGGAGAGCTCCTGAGGTCCTGATGAAGACAAGGTAGGGGAATCAGAGGCCTGAACCCCCAAAAGCAAAAACTTGTGACTGGGGTGACCCTGTGACCATGTATCCAGGCCTGCAGGCTTACACCTGTGGGCTCAATGTGATGATTAATAATCCCCTCTTGCGCTCAGAAGCATCCCACTTTGGATAATAAATTATCAGTAGCTATACCTGTGGAGGAAGATAAGGCCTGAGGTTTTGAGACCAGGAGACTGAACAAGAATAAGGATGCCAGGGTACTGGGGGGAACGGGGCTGAGAGAGTAGCTTCTGGCCACCCACACCCCAGACATGGGGACTGCTTTGCCCATCTGTCTTTCCTTGATCCTCAGCATCTAAAGGCCGGAAACCACGGGCGTGCAGAGCAGTTGCAGCCCACTATGAAGGTGGGTGATGGGGAGCCATGCCCGGGGAGAAGGGGTGGCTGAGGCGCAGGGCAGGGCTCACCACCCCTTTCCTGTGTCTTACAGTTCACCCACAGCCAGGACAAGACGGAGCACAGGCAGGTGAGACCCCCCCCACCCCCAGCCTGAGCTCTTCTCTTACCCTCATAGCCCTGGCCTTCTGGACAAGGGACCCCCTCCCAAACCTTGACTTCCCACCCCCATCTCCACCTTCAACATCAGAACTCCAAAAGCCAGTTCAAGAAAATGCTTAGGGCTCACTTCTCTTGGCTCCCAAAACTGGACTTTCTCTGTGACTCAGACATGGGACCCCAGGGAGACCCCTTCCCCTTTCAGAGACCAGGCATATCCCCCCACCAAACCACCTTCAGCCCTCGCTCATCTCCAAGAAGCATCTTTGATTCCCGCCCCCTCTTCTTTCCCCTCCATATTCCAAGAGTTTTCATGCTCTGATCATTTTTCTCTAAATATTTCCAGTCTCTGATCTTCTTTTCCATCCCCAGCCCACCCCCACCTCAGCACCATGACCTCAGAACCTCAAACTCAGTCTCCAGCTCCTTCCCCATTTTAGACTTTCCCCACCCCTACTGTGTCCCACCTGTGTTGCCAAGTTCAGCCTCCTTAAGCCTGTCTCTCATTCTTCTATTGCTTTTCTACTTGGCTTCCAGCCTCTCCACGCTCTGGTCTTAACCTCTTTTCCTGGCACATCCTTATGCCCTCTCGACACTTGTTGGCTGACACCCCCTCCCCACCAATGTACTTCTTCTGGACTTTGGACATACCATTCGTTCACCTGGAATCCCCTTCCATGTGATAGGCCAGGAGGCAAGACACGAGAGTGACTTAGTCTAGGGTTGGCAGCTGAGATGGAGAGAAGTAAATGGATTCAGCGTGTAGTTTGAAGAGAAGGACTTGCTGGAGCAGGATAAGGGAGGGTGGGGGCAGGAATGACTTCTAGATTTTTAAGTTGGGCATCTTTGAGAATAATGATGTCTTTTATTAAAGTGGTGTTAACCAGGAAGGAAATATGTTGGGGGGCATGTAAATTAATAATTGAATTTGAGAGCTAATAATAATAAACAAGGGAGTTTCACAGATAGTTAGCTGGACTTGGTGAGTGGCTCAGGCCTGGGTAGAGTGTGTAGAGTCAGGAGTCATCACCAGATGGATGGTATTTAAAGCTGCAGGACTGGATGAGACACCCATGAGGAAAGGGGGCCCCACAAGGAAAGCCCTGAGGCTCTTGGAGCAAAGTAGGAGAATCCAGCAGAGACTGAGAAGCAGCCAGAGAGAGGGGAAGAAACCCAGGGAGGGCAGTGTCCTGGAGTCTCAGAGAAGACATAGTTTCAAGAAGGAGGATGTGGCTGTCTATGTTGAATGCAGCTGAGTGGTCACATGAGATGAGAACAGAGAAATGACTGCTGCATTTAGTAACATTCAAAGTTAACTGGTGACCTTGACAAGGGCGGTGTCTGGTGTGGTTAGGTTGGAAGCCAGTGTGGACTGGGTTAAGAGAAAATCGGAAATAGGAATCAGAGACAGTGACAACCCTCTCCAGAAATTTCTCTGTAACAGGAGCAGAGAAATGGGCCAGGAGGTAGAGAAGGATGTGAATCCAGGAAAAGTTCAGTCCTTAAGCAATACTGCCTGAATCATAGCTAATACCTATTCAGTGTTTGAAGTGAAGTGAAGTTGCTCAGTCGTGTCCGACTCTTTGCGACCCCATGGACTGTAGCCTACCGGGCTCCTCTGTCCATGGGATCTTCCAGGCAAGAGTACTGGAGTGGGTTGCCATTTCCTTCCCCAGAGGATCTTCCCGTCCCAGAGATCGAACCCCGGTCTCCCGCATTGTGGGCAGACACTTAACCGTCTGAGCCACCACGGAATCAGTGTTTAATCTCACCTAATCCTTGAAAGGGGGCTTCCCTGGTGGCTTAGAGGTTAAAGTGTCTGCCTGCAACGTGGGAGACCCAGGTTCGATCCCTGGGTCGGGAAGATCCCCTGGAGAAGGAAATGGCAACCCACTCCAGTACTCTTGCCTGGAGAATCCCATGGACGGAGGAGCCTGGTAGGCTACAGTCCACGGGGTCGCAAAGAGTTGGACATGACTGAGCGACTTCATTCACTCACTCACTCACTCACTCAATCCTTGAAAGAGTCCTAAAAGGAAGATAATCCAGGCATCTCCTTTTCACAGAAAGAGATGACGGTAACCTGTCCAGGTCATGATGATGCTAAGAGGTGGGGCCAGGATTTGAATCCAGCTAGCTGTGCTTGTGTTCCAGACATTATGTGAGAGGCGATTGCCAGTGCAGGGGCGGGGGAACCTGCAGGCAACATCCAAGAAGGTGGGAGGGGGTGGACTCTAGAAGGAAAAAAGGGACGGGACGTGTCATCTCATCACCATAAGAGGGTCAGTGGTGACCATGAGAACAAGTCAGTTTGTGGTCTGGGTGGGAGGACATAAGGTAGCCCTTACCTGATGACTTCAGGGTCCTCTGGAGATCGAGGGAGATGGGCAGGAGGGACGGTGAAAAGCAAGCCTCGTAGGGAAAAAGGATGATTGCAAGGCAGTAAAGAATGAAATTTAGTGATACCATGGTCTCAGGCACACCATGCCCTTAGCCACAAGGAGCTCAAACTAGTTCCCTAGCCAGGAATGCCCTTTCTCCTTCTTCCCCCTACTCTTCATGCCTCAGGCCAGCCTTCCTCCCTTCTGTCTGGACCATTATTTCAGCAGTTACCCAGACATTTACTCATTTGTTGACTCAGCACACATGAGTTGAGATGCTACTGTTTGTATGGACCCAGCTAGGTGCCCACACTGAGTAATATCCAGACCTATTTGCAAGGAACTTCTGTCTAGGAGAGGAGGCAAGCATATAAATTTGTAAATTACAGTGTGATATGACGAGAATAATAATGAAAGTAGCAAGAGACACATGGCCAGTACAGAGGAAGACAACTTTACAATGGAGTCAGGGACTCTTCCCCAAGGAGGCATGGACTCTTATCCAAGTGTGCGTATAAGATGGACAGAGGGGCAGGGCCACGTGTACCAAAGCCCAGAATTTGCCAAGAGTCTGATGAAGCTGGAGGACAGGGAACAAGCAGCTCGATGTGGTTAAGGAGACAGATCCAGAAGAGCAGGATGGGGTGAGGCTGGAGAAGCCTATAGAGCCAGGTCACAGTTGTAGTCTGGAGGTTATTCTGAAGTCAAATCAGGAAGAGACAGTCTCGCGTCTGCATTTGAGAAACATCACTCTATGCCTCTGTGTAGTGTGGCGAGTAAACTGGAGCAGGCAGTTTACTCCTGGTGGAAACAGGGAGCCTAAAGAGGAAGGAGCCTGGAAAGAGCCCCAGTGAGAAATGCCCGAGTCCACACACACAGGAGGGAGACAGCTACTTAGGTGGCAGGCTTGCTAGGAACTGGTGATCAGTGGATAAAGCTGGTGAAGGAGAGAGAGGCTTGGGTGCTTGATAAGAGGCAGAACCAGGAGCCCAATGTGGAATGCAGACAGTCAAGCAAATTTGGGGTTGGGGGGGGCAGGCTCAGTTTTGGTCTAGGTGAGTTTGAAGTGGGGAGCATGGGGAGGTTACTCTAATGGCAGGCAGGTAGCAGTGTCAGGAGGGGCAGGCACGGGCAGAGCTGGAGACTCAGATTGGAGTCTTGCGAAATAAAAGCCAAGGCAACCCATAGGTAGGGATGAAAATGCCCTGTGAGCATTATGTTCTTGAGAAAGGAACCAGGACAGTGCCCTGGGGCAGGCAGAGGATGGGGTTGCCAGGAAGGAAGCTTCCCAGGCTACTGAGATGAGGTGCAGGAAGCCCTGGAGAGCAGCCTGTGGACCCAAACAAGAGACAGCTGTCTCTACAGCCTCTTCGTCCCCTCTGTCTTCTTCCCACCAGCATGTGCTCGGTGTCTGCTCAGAGCAGGCCCAGCTGCAGGGCCTGGGGTGCAGTAACCAGACCAATTCCCCTGCTCCTTGGGGGAGGCAGACCCCAAACTATCACAGAAGGAAATAAAGATGATTTCTGTCCTTGGTGACTGCTGTGAGAGAGATGCGGTGAGTGGAGGAGAGTTTAATGGAGACTAGCTATTAATATTTCAGACTGGGAGGCCTGGGGAGGTCACTCATAGTGACCAGACTGACTGAAGGGAGGGAGGAATCCCCGGGGGAGGGAAAAGCAGTAAAAACCCTGTGGAAACAGAGAGCTTGGTGCCTGGCAGGAACAGAAAGTGGGCCTGAGGGCCTGGAGTCTTGTGACTTGGAGGAATGTGTGAGATTAGATCTGAGAGGTAAACAGGGGTGCTCACGGAGGACTGGGAAGTCATTTGAGACCCTGGTTTGTCATTTGATTATTTGTCTTCTTTACAGTTTGCAATTACCTTTACTCTAGTTTTGTTGTTAACAGCTTTATTGAGATATAATTCACATACTATATAATTCCCCTTTTTAAAATGTACAGTTAAGCTTTTAGTATAGTCACAGAATTGTATGACCATCACTACAGTAATTTGAGAGTTTTCATTACCTCAAAAAGAAACCGTGTACACTTCACCCACCACACTGTATTTCCTTGATCCCCTCCAGCCCTAAGCAACCGCTAATCTACTTTTTGTCTCTATGTATTTGTTTATTTGGAAACTTCTTTTTTTTTTTAATTTGGAAATTTATTTGGAAATTTCATGTGCATGCGTGTTCAGTCGCTTAGTCATGTCTGACTCTTTGCGACCCTATTGTAGCCCTACAGGCTCCTCTGTCCATGAGATTCTCGAGGCAAGAATACTAGAGTGGGTTGCCATTTCCAACTCCAGGGGATCTTCCAGAGCCAGGGATCGAACCCCCATCTCTTGTGTCTCCTTCATGGGCATGCAGGTTCTTTACCACTTCGCCACCTGGACATTCATAGAACATGTGATCCTTTGTGACTAGCTTCTTTCACTTAGCATAACGTTTTTAAATTTCCTCCACATTGTAGCATGCATTAGTACTCCATTTCTTTTTATGGCTGAATAATATCCCATTGTAGGGACTTAACACAATTTTCCTTATCCATTCATTAATGGATGGAGATTTGGGTTACCATTTTATTATTTTTAATTTTTTGTTTTTATCTTTTTCCTTTTGATCATTTTTCATTTTAATAACCCAAGTAATATATGATTCAAGTAACGCATCCATACCTTCTCCAAGTAAAAGAGCAAATGGTGCAGACACAACCTATAAAAGCCCCCATGCTTCTTGAGCCCTACTCCTCTCTCCAGAAGCAGCTGATGAGAACTTTCTGTCTATCAGTCTAGTCCTCCATGTTGGGTTTCTTCACCTAACTTCGTATCACACTCCCAGCTCCCTAGGCCGTGGCTCCTCCCTTGCCCCGGGCCTCCTAGATATCTTCTGGGTAAACTGGGCCCAAAGGTTTATAAACTCAGTGACTTACTGGCCAGTGTGAGAAAGTTCTTTAGAGGGATTTCCCCCTGTCTCTGAACACCCGCATTCAGGTGTGGACGGGACGGTGAGTGGCTGGGAGGAGGCCAAAATCAACAGCTCCAACCCCCTGCGCTATGACTGCCAGACCGGGCAATTTATGGTCACCCTGGCTGGGCTCTACTACCTGTACTGTCAGGTAAGCCCCACCTGGCTCCACGGGTAAAGCCGGAACTGAAGGAGGAGGGTTGGGCTTCGAGGTTGGGGGCAAGTTATAGGTGGGGAGGCGGACCGTGGGGTTTGGGCTGAGAGGAGCCTTGGGCCTCTAAGGACACCTGAGATGAAGCAGAGGGCCTGGACTCCGCCCCTCCCCTGCCCCCCCCAGGTGCACTTTGATGAGGGGAAGGCTGTCTACCTGAAGCTGGACTTGCTGGTGGATGACACGCTGGCCCTGCGCTGCCTGGAGGAATTCTCGGCCACTGCGGCCAGTTCCCCCGGGCCCCAGCTCCGTCTCTGCCAGGTGTCAGGGCTCTTGCGCCTTCGGCGAGGGTCCTCCCTGCGGATCCGCACCCTCCCCCAGACCCAACTCAAGGCTGCCCCCTTCCTCACCTACTTTGGACTCTTCCAAGTTCACTGAAGGGCCCCGGTCTCCAGTGGCTTGTCCCCACAGCCGCTCTCTGAGCACCCCTGTCCCCTCTGCCCCACCCTGAGCTGCTCCTCCCCCAGACCTGCCTCTCCCCCAGGCTGCCAGGGCTCACGTGATGTCCACGCCACACAAGTATTCCCAGCCTCTCTGACAGTTTTCCCCACCTCCAGCTCTCCACCCCACTAGCTCCCCAACCCCATTTATCTCCTGACTCCCCAGCCCTGGTGCAGCCCTCCAGGACACTGTGTTTACTGCACTCTGGGTGATGATGGGTCCTCCACACCCCCTCTTCAGGCACTAAGAGGGGCCGGATGCCAGAGAGACTGGGACTAGGCCAGGAGTTCCGGAATGTGAGGGGTCAGAGACCAGGACAGGCTCCTCCCTTGATAATTCCCTGTGGATTTTTAAAACAGATATTATTTTTATTATTATTGTGACTAAATGTTGATAAGTGGATATTAAAGAGAATAAGTCATGGTTGCTCTCTTTATTGGGGCTTAGAGGATATCCTCAGGGTAGCTGAGGGCCATTGGAAGGGGGGGTCTGGGAGGTGGGGGGTGGGGGGAGACAGTAACCTGGAATTCCAGGACGACATCCAGGCTTGGGCACGGAGACCTATGTGCCTTGAAGTCCCAGGCAGGAGAAAAGAGTCAAAAGGCAAACTGCCAGGAAGGAAAAAAAAAATCAATTCTCTGCCCAAGGTCCAGCAGAAGTTGCCTGATTTACCTAGGAGGCGGGCTTCCTCCTGTGGGGAATCCCTGGGCTGGGAGGAGCAGCAGCCCTTCCTCTTGGCAGCCTGGGCACCTGCAGCAGGTGCTGGCACCAGCCTGGGCTGGGACTTGGCGCAGGGAGTGGGGAAGCGGGGGTGGGGGGCGGGGAAGCAGGCATGATGTGGGGGCTCAGGGTCAGGAAGTGGGACACTAGGGCCCAGGAACACGGGAAGCTTCGCCCCAGGGTCCAGGCAGAAGTCCTACAGTGGTGGGGCGCTCTGGCTGTCTCTTTCTCATTTGTCCAGAGCCTTATGTAAGTGTTTCTGGGGAAACAGGAAGTCCGGCTTGCCAAGTTCAGCAGAGAGAGTAGTGCAGGCCTTCTTCCAACACACCCGGCCTGGCCTTAACCCCGGAACTCAGCCAGTTCCTTGCTTCCCCGACCCTGGTTCTCCTCCCTACTGACCCCCTCTTCTCCCCTCCTCTCCCACCTTCAGTCACCGTCAGCAGACTGCCCCGGAGATCTCACCTGTGCCTGGGCGTGAGGGTCTTCCACTCTCAGCCCTTGACCCTCGGTGCTGCCCAGCACGTCTCTCCATCCTGGCTCCTGGCACCATGCCCCAGAGCCAGCCAACCTTCCCTCCCCCACTTCTGGGGCCGCCCCGGGGTTCCTGCGCTCTGGCCGCTCCTCCTGGGTGTCACTGGCAGCCCTGTCCTTCCTAGAGAGACTAACACCAAATTCTTCTGAGGCTGGAGGAGGTGAGGGGTCTCGGGACAGTGCTGGCCCCGCAGCAGGGTGCCAAGAGCACCAGCAGTGCCCCAGCTTGCTTCCCGCCTCCCTTCTTTTTATTCTCAAGTTCCTTTTTATTCCTCCCTTGCGTAACGCCCTTCTTCCCTTCTGCACCACTGCCTGCACCCCTACCCTCCCCGTCACCTCCTTGCCATCCCACTCCTGAGACCACAGCTGTTGGCAGGGTCCCCAGCTCATGCCAGCCTCATTTCCTTCCTTGTTAAGCCCCCAGGGAGACATGGGGGGCTCCGTCCGAGAGCCGGCGCTCTCAGTTGCCCTCTGGTTGAGTTGGGGGGCGGCTCTGGGGGCTGTGGCTTGTGCCATGGTTCTGCTGACCCAACAAACCGAGCTGCAGACCTTAAGGAGAGAGGTGACCCGGCTGCAGAGGAACGGAGGGCCCTCCGAGAAGGGGGAAGGGAATCCGTGGCTGAATCTCCAGGAGCAGGTGAGTGAGGGGAGAAGCATGTCTGGCAAAAAACGATGCATGGCAGGGTGGTCTCTGGGTCTCTCGGTTCCAGCTGCTTTGTCGGCAAAGTTTGGAATGGGTGCAAGAGAGGATCCCAGGGTTTGGAGGTCAAGGGAGCGACCATTCCAGGAAAGGAAATTGTTAAAGATTAATGCTTCTCATACCTAACAGATTCTGGAGGAGAGCCAGTACCCAGACTCAGGTTGCTGGGGAAAGGTGCAGGAGAGATGTGAGGCATTCCTGGGGCAGGTGGGAGGTGGGGGGTGGGGCTGGGGAAAAGGCTTTCTGGGACCCTTGAATCTTAGCCTAACCCTGACCCTCTTTCCATGAGCAGAGCCCTGATGGCACAGAAGGCCGGGAGAATGGGGAGAGATCCCGGAGGAGGAGAGCAGTGCTCACCCGTAAACAGAAGAGTGAGGCCTCCGGGGTGCAGCAGGGGTGGGAGGTGATCCACAGCAGGGGGATCTGGAGACTGCAACCCTGAGCCAGGGCGAGGGCGGAGGGCTGACAGCCACGCAACTGCTGAGATCTCCTCCCTCTCTCCCCAGAGAAGCGCTCAGTTCTGCACCTCGTTCCCATTAACATCACCTCCAAGGGTGAGCACTATTTTCAATCACGGCTTTGGGGTGGGGGCCAAGATCTAGGAAGTGTGGGACTGGCACATCGGCCAAAGAGAACCTTAGAGAATAAGTGTCTGAGTGTGCACAGAAATCCTCACTGCCACATTCTTTGCCTCCAGAGGACTCCGATGTGACAGAGGTAATGTGGCAACCAGCTCTCCAGCGCGGGCGAGGCTTGGAGGCCCAAGGATATGTTGTTCGAGTCTGGGATGCTGGAGTTTATCTGCTGTACAGCCAGGTAACCCCAAATATCCCCTGAGCCTCACCTGAGGGCCTGGAGGTCTGTTTTCCCAAAGCCTTGTACCCCAGCACTGAGGTTTCTCAACCCCTAGTCATACCCCACTTAGAGGGCCCTTCTTCATTCCTCTGCTCCTTTGTCAGGGCTCCTGAGGCTGCCCAGACCCGAGCCACGCCAGCCCAGTTTCTTCAGCATCCCCTCCCTTCCCTGTCAGGTCCTGTTTCATGATGAGACTTTCACCATGGGTCAGATGGTATCTCGGGAGGGACAAGGAAGGCAGGAGACTCTATTCCGATGCATACAAAGTATGCCCTCCAACCCTGACTGGGCCTACAACAGCTGCTACAGTGCAGGTGAGAGGTGGGTGGGCAGTGGAGGGTGGATGTGAGGGGAGCAGATCCCTGACCTGGGGCAACAGTGGGGGAGCTATGGCAGGGGCTTGGAAGCCGGGGTGTAGAGGCGGAGTGAGGAATGAAGGACAGAATGCCTTAGTCCTTACAGGAGGCAAACAAGGTTGAGCTGGATAAGGGAGGGGAAACATCAGATTATCTGCATGGCTGTGCTTCACTGAGCATCTGTTTTCTCCCCTTTCTCAGGTGTCTTCCATTTACACCAGGGGGATATCTTGAGTGTTGTAATCCCTCGGGCAAGGGCCAAACTTAGCCTCTCTCCACATGGAACCTTCCTGGGGCTTGTGAAACTGTGACTGTGTTGTAAAAGGTAGTTCTGAGCTTGGAAGACCAGGGTGGGTACACTTTTGAGATGGCCAAGAGCTGATTAGACAATGGACAGGGAACAGTCTGGCACAGAGGCCTGCCTCTGCCCCCAGGTTTGACGGCTCATGACTCTCCCTTCTTCCCACCCTCACCCCCAGGACTTTGAATTCATGGATATTAAAGAGGTATAATAGCTTGTTCTTTTTCTCCATCCAGCCCCAAATTCTTGAGGGAGTAGGGTAGGGGTGGGGGTGGGAAATGCCAGGCTTTGTCTAGACTTGCTCTGGGTCCCACTGGAATGCTTCCAGAACAGCACCACCATCTAGCGGCGGTTTGAAACAACCATCCTGTCGGTTGGCAAATGTCCACGAGTTCTTCTCCGCTCAAACTCCTGGTTCTTTACACCACACCTCTCTTTAGGTACCCTCTGCCTCTTCACCCAACAAGAAGCCCCATCCTCACTTCGTTCTCCATCTACTGGGCTCCAGTTTCCATTACTATCTCCAGAGGTGTAATTGTTAGGCGCCGGTCTGCAGAGGGTGCCCGATGACGACGGCCCCCTTGCAGCCACACCACTACTCTTCAGGTCCCAAGTTTTGCCTTCACTCTGTCCACTATCGTGGCCCGGCAGGCCGGGTCGCCTTGGCTAAATCGTACGCCCCAGTCCTGGTCCTGTCTCACTCCTCTGATCTCTCCTTTCTCCGCAAGCCCTGCCTAAAATTTAAAAATAAAGACTAAATAAATAAGACCTTGGATCCATTTCCCCCACTGCTGTGCCTCAGCTCCGTCCACGCACGGGGACCTCCCAGCCCTCCCAGCCCTCTTCCGACGCTCTTCATTGGACCCACGTGTCAGGGCCCCCAGTTCAAGCCCGGGGGAGCGAGGAACACCAGGGTACACGGCGCGAGGGCGGAGGGCGGAAGATCGGCACGGGACAACGCAGGCGCAAAAGAACTAATGGAGGGGCTGCCCGGCGCAGCTCGGTTCAGCGGGTGTGCGCAGGCGCATCCCTGCGTGGGGCGCGTGGGCGGGACGGTCCCGTGGCGTCTACGCTCTCGGGTAGGCGGGGCTAGGCGCGTGGTGGCCCCGCCGGCGCTGTTCGCCGGGTGTGACGCACTAATTGTGCGCCATCGCCGCCGGTGGGCCTGGGGCTCGAGGGAGGGGAAGGAGGAGGAGGAGAGGGAGGTGGTGGAGGTGGAGGCTGAAGCAGAGCAAGAGGCGGCCGCGGCGGGGCGGCGCGGCGCGCGGCCCAGAAGCGTTGGAATCCTGAATTGAGACGGCTGCGCCTGAAGACAGCAGAAGTGGTGGGGCCGCCGCCGCTGGAGAGATGAGCCGGGAAGCCTGAGGCCGGAGACGCCCGCCCTCGGGCCTGTCCGCCCGGCTTCCCCGCTCTGGGTGAGGACGCCCCCTCCCCTCCCCCCAGCTCTGCCACGGCCTCTCCCGTTTCTGAACCCCATTCCCACCTAACAGGGGCCCAGGAGGCCCTCGAAGGGGCTTTATAAAGCCCTTGCACACGGAGTCTCCCGAGCTTGTAGGACCACACCGGTGCTGGGACGCATTCTGGTCCCCAGGACGGAGCAGGAAGGGGGCTGGGCCAACCTGGCTCGGCTGAGTTCCGTCTCAGCGCGTCTTGACGGCTCCTTAAGCGCCATCCGGTTCTCTTTCAGTTTCCTCTAAAATCCTTCCCTTCTCATTAGATTTTATGACTTGAACCGTAGCCCTCGTATCCCCATTACCTCCTGAGACGACCCGAGCATGCCCACACACCCCATTCATTCCTCGGTGATGGAGAACTCTCTTCTCACTCTGGTTTACGGATTCCTGGCGGAAGTTGTGTTCTCACGTATCTCTCTACCATGTCAGTATTCCCGTACTGAGCCATTTCCCTTACTAACTCTCAATTAGGACATCCCTTGTGCCAGTAGACTTGTGTTAGTGCTCAGTCGTGTTCGACTCTTTGCTATCCCATGGTAGCCCGCCAGGCTCCTCTGTCCATGGAATTCTCCAGGCAAAAGAATGCTGGAGTGGGTTGCCATTTCCTTCTCCAGGAGATTTCCTGACTCAGGAATGGAACCTAGGTCTCCTGCATTGTAGGCGGATTCTTTACCGTCATCTACCAGGGAAGCCCCTGGTGGTATTCAAGTAGAGAAGTGGAGCCTGAAAATACTAGGCTTGATGTGGGGATCTGAGAAATAAGAACCCTGAGGCCTGCTGCTTAGCCTTTCTTCCTTGCCTCTAGCTGGGCAGGAGAGAGATGGTGGCACAGACTGTAAAGGGCAGCTTGTGGACCATGTTAACTATAAGGAAGATCTGAAGTTAGGAGTGGGCAGAGGAGGGGGTGGGGAGGGCTAAGATCCTGGGAGAGCAGGAGTCTCTTGTGGTGTTAAGAGCTGGGTCTAAGGAAAGGGAGTCCTGGTTTAGAAAAGCCAGTCATGTCTGCTTGAAATCTGTCTTTTCCATAGTGTGTGTCTAATTGCAGAAGATGCATGCTGAGAAAGAGAGGTGGGATCTGGGATGTAGGATGTTTGGATTCTGACACTCCAACTTTTGTTTTCCAGGCTATTGGAAGATGAAAGAGACTATACAAGGGACCGGGTCTTGGGGGCCTGAGCCTCCTGGACCCGGCATAGCCCCAGCTTTTTCAAGTCCCAGGCGGGAGCGTCTTCGTTGGCCCCCACCCCCCAAACCCCGACTCAAATCAGGTGGAGGGTTTGGGCCAGACCCTGGGTCAGGGACCACAGTGCCAACCAGACGCCTCCCTGTCCCTCGGCCCTCTTTTGATGCCTCAGCTAGTGAAGAGGAGGAGGAAGAAGAGGACGACGAAGATGAAGATGAGGAGGAGGAAGTGGCAGCTTGGAGGCTGCCCCCCAGATGGGGTCAGCTGGGAGCTTCCCAGAGGCCTCGCCCTCCCCGCCCTACTCATCGGAAAACCTGTTCACAGCGCCGTCGCAGAGCTATGAGAGCCTTCCGGATGCTGCTCTACTCAAAAAGCACCTCGCTGACATTCCACTGGAAGCTTTGGGGGCGCCACCGGGGACGGCGGCGGAACCTCCCACACCCCAAGAACCATCTTTCACCCCGGGAAGGGGCCATGACACCACAGGTGCCATCCCCTTGCTGTCGTTTTGACTCCCCCCGGGGACCACCTCCACCCCGGCTGGGTCTGTTAGGTGCTCTCATGGCTGAGGATGGGGTGAGAGGATCTCCACCAGTGCCCTCTGGGGCCCCCATGGAGGAAGATGGATTAAGGTGGACTCCAAAGTCTCCTCTGGGCCCTGACTCCGGTAAGGTGGGAATGGGGCAGAGGAGAGGGTGGAGACGGCTAAGATCCTGGGAGACCAGGAGTCTCTTGCTGTGATAAGAGTTGGGTCTAAGGAAAGTAGGAGGGCAGAGAGAGAGGTTGCAGAACAGTTGTGCAATGTTTTAAGCCCCACTCCGAGCAGGAACTAAGTCTGGGAAGAGAGTCAAGGCCGGGAAACAGGATTCCTAAGTAGGTGCCCTGTGCATAGATGAGAGAGGGAATCATGGTTTAGAAAAGCCAGTCATGTCTGTTTGAACTCTGTCTTCATTTGGCTTCTGAGGGTAAGTGCCCCATGCATGTACATCTCATTCTTAGAGTGGTGGGATGGATCTCTGGGTAGAGGAGTACATCACCTGGACAGCTGTGTGTGACATTCTCACTCAGAATGTTTCTCTTTGGGAGAACTCCCAACTAAACAACATCAGGCTCTGTCTTTATTAATTATTTTCATATTTATTGAGTCTTTGCTGTATGCCAGGCACTATGCTAGTGTGCTAGGCATTATGAGAAATATCTTTGAACTTTACATCTCTCTGAATCCTAGTGTTTTCTTGCTTTCCTCCTGTTTCTGAGTACAGGCATACCTCGTTTCATTGCGCTTCACTTTATTGTACTCCGGAGACATTGCATTTTTTACAAATTGAAGGTCTGTGGCAACACTGAGTAGAGCAAGTCTTATCAGTGCCATTTTTCCAACAGTATTTGTTCAGTAGCATGTCTGTGTCACGTTTTGGTAATTCTTGAAATATTTCATTGCCTCCACCCCTGAAAAGGTTACTGCTCACTGAAGGCTCAGATGATAGCATTTTTAGCCATGAAGTTTTTTTTTAATATTTTTGTTTTATTGGAATATAGTTGATTTACAGTGTGGTGTTAAGTTTCAGGTGTACAGCAAAGTGATTCTGTTATAAATATATTCATTCTTTTTTAGATTCTTATGCAGGTTATCACAGGATATTGAGTAGAGTACCCTGTGCTATATATACTAAGTCCTATATTATATATAGTACTGCGTATATGTTTATCCCAAGCTCTCGATTATCCTTCCCCTCCACATTTCTCCTTTGGCAACTGTAAGTTTGTTTTCAATATTTCTATAAATTGGTTTCTGATTTGTGAATAAGTTCATTTTATCTTTTTTTAAAAATCAGGTTCCACGTACGAGTGATAGCGGTTTGTTTCTCTCTGTCTTCACTTAGTATGATAATCTCTAGGTCCATCCATGTTGCTGCAAATGGCAGTTTTTTTCATTTATTTTATGGCTGAGTAATATACCAGTGTTTATATGGGCCACGTCTTTATCCATTCATCCACTGATGAACGTTTAGGTTGTTTCCATGTCTTGGCTGTAAATAGTGCTGCAGTGAACATCAGGGTGCAGGTATCTTCAGATAAGGGTTTTCTCCAGATGTATGCCCAGGAGTGGGATTGCTGGGTCATCCAGTAGTTCCTGTTTTTAGTTAAGGAGTCTCCATACTGTTCTCTATAGTGATTTTACCACCTTACATTCCCACCAACAGTGTAGGAGGGTTCCCTTTTCTCCACACCCTCTCCAACATTGTTTCTAGACTTTTTTCTTTTTAAGAAGACAGAGGTTTGTTTATTTTTTGACTGTGCTGGGTCTTTGTTGCTGTGCATGGGCTTTCTCTAGTTGTCGAGAGTTGGGGGCTCTTCTTCGTTGTGGTGGCTTCCTTTGTTGCAGAGCACAGGGTCTAGACACACAGGCTTAGTTGCTCTATGTCGCGTGGACTCTTCTCTGACCAGGGATCACATTGGCAGGTGGATTCTTATCTACTGTACTGCTGGGGAAGTCCTTGTTTGTAGACTTTGATGGTGGCCATTCTGACCAGTGTGAGGTGATACCTCATTGTAGTTTTGATGTGCATTTTTCTGATGATTAGTGATGTTGAGCATCTTTTCATGTGTAATAAAGTATTTTTTTTCTTTTTTTTAAATTTTTTTTCTTGTTTTTTAAAGTATTTTTAAAATAGCTTTTTAGATATAATGTTGCACACTTAATAAATTATAGTAAAGGTAAGTTTTATATGCACCAGGAAACCCCAAAATTTGTGTGACTCAGTTTATTACAATATTTGCTTTATTGTAGTGGTCTGGAAGCAAACCCGCAATATCTCTGAGGTATGCCTGTAATAACTCTTCTTCTTTGTCGCTTATAACCTCTTGGACATAATTATCTCATGCTTTAGGGTTTTCATTGTTTAGTGTTTGTACTGGTAGATTTTGTTTCAGTTCCTCCTTCTCGTGGTCTTATAATTTGCGTGCCTCATTTAATCTTCCCATTGGTCTTTGATCTGAGCGAGTTTCTTGCCTCCATCCTATTTCCTCTGCGTTGCAGGTCTCCTCTCTTGTACTCTGCCCAATGGCTTTGGGGGACCACCTGGGCCAGAAGGAGAGCGAAGTCTGGCACCCCCTGATGCCAGCATCCTCATCAGCAACGTATGCAGCATCGGGGACCACGTGGCCCAGGAGCTTTTTCAGGGCTCAGATGTGGGCACTACAGAAGAGGCCGAGCGGCCTGGGGAGAAAGCTGGCCAGCACAGCCCTCTGCGGGAGGAGCATGTCACCTGTGTGCAGAGTAAGGAGCCCTCCAGGATGTCGTCTTTCCCCTCAGCTGACTGTGAGATCGGAGTCTGGAGCCTCACTTTTCTCTCCTCCCTCCACTCAGGCATCTTGGATGAATTCCTTCAGACTTACGGCAGCCTCATCCCCCTCAGCACTGATGAGGTAGTGGAGAAACTAGAGGACATTTTCCAGCAGGAATTCTCTGCACCTTCCAGGTAAGGCATGAAAGAGATGCCCTTTGGAAGAGGGCTGGGACCTGAGAGATGGGGAGAGAATGCTGCTGCCTTTTCTCCCATAGGGATGTAGTCGGGGAGGAGGAGGAAGCTAGAACTGAAGGGGAGGAATCTGCAGACAAGGTGCCAAGCCCCTGTGAGCCACCCGGGAGGGCCTTTACCTGGGACCCTGAAATACCACGTGAACCTAAGTATTCCTGTGCTTCTTACAGGGGAGTGTGCCTTTAGCAAGTCCTCAAAAGGACCCATGACCCAAAGAAAAAGTTTTAGATTCTTATTCTAGGCAGTAGAAGGTACTTCTGTATGCCCAAGCCACTGCCCCCACCCCAATCTCTTGCATGACTCAACCCTTGGCCTACCCAGGAAGGGCCTGGTGCTGCAGTTGATCCAGTCATACCAACGGATGCCAGGCAATGCCATGGTGAGGGGCTTCCGAGTCACGTATAAGCGGCATGTGCTGACCATGGATGACCTGGGGACTTTGTATGGACAGAACTGGCTCAATGACCAGGTGAGGTGGCGTGGAGAAACAGGCCCAAGAGGGGGTTTGGGGAACAATGTGTTTGGGACCCTCTCTGTGAGGAAGACCTGTCCCCGTGCCACACCCTCCATGGCAAGTGGCCTCCCATCTTCTCCTCAGGTGATGAACATGTACGGAGACCTGGTCATGGATACAGTCCCTGAAAAGGTAGGCCTAACCAGATACTTCAGTCCCTGGAAAAACTTGTGAAGTTTTAAGCAGCTTTTTCAGTCCCTTTCATGTCTTCTATTTTACATGAAGAGGGTCCTTCTTTCTGGGGAGAGGCAGTAGAAGGTAATTTGTTAAATTCAAATTTGTAATCTTGGTACTGAACTTTTCAATTCTAGTCCTTTCCCCTAATCTGTAGTGTTTTCCCCCAATGGCTAACCCCACAAATCAGGATGGGAAGTTATAAGATGAGGTTGAAAACGGTTTGTGCTTTTTACCCTTAGTAAGTTGGACTGGAGTTTGTAGAAACCAGCCCTTAGAGCCGTGATGAAATGGAATGGGCGGGGGAGAGGACACGTGGCAGGAGGGCCTGTGGTCTGTTGAGTCCACCTGGCTCTTTTGTATCATTGGCACAGGTGCATTTCTTCAACAGTTTCTTCTATGATAAACTCCGTACCAAAGGTTATGATGGGGTGAAAAGGTGGACCAAAAACGTGAGTTATGAATTCACATCTTATGTAACACCTTGCCTCTAAAGAGTTGTGTTTCCTGTGAATCCTTTCCCCAATCCTGTTCATTCAGACTTTCAAGTATTTATTAAATGTCTTTTGTGTGCCAGGTACTATTCTGGGCATTAAGGATACAGTATTAAATAAGGAAAACTTACTACCTTTTTGGGGGTGAGAATCAATAAGCCAGTTAAAGTACAGCTAGTGATAATTTGCTGTAAACAAAACAGTAATGTGGTAGCATGGGGCTGGGTACTTTAGATAGGGTGGTTTGGGAAGGCTTCTCTTAGCTGATACTTGAGTGAGGAGGAGCCAGCCCTGTGCACATCTGGGCAAGGGTATACTGTGTCCCAGGAACATGGGACACAGTGAGAAAGAACATTTGAGGATCAGAGGGCCCGTGTGGCTGCCTGTGTGATTGGAGCAGAGTGAGCAAAGGAAAAACCATAGAAAATGTGGTCAGAGAGTAGATCCTGTGAGGCGTGGAGGGCAGGTCAACCAGGGTAGATTTTATTCTTTGTGTTCTAAGAAGCAATTGAAGAGTTTCAAGCAATCTGGGAAGTGACTCATGTTTTAAACTCCTGTTTCGGTGATAGAGGGAAAGGGGGCAAGAGTGGAAGCAGGCAGACAAAACAGAGTAGCCGATAAGTCCTGATGAGAAACTTGGACCACAGTGGTCAATGTGGAAATATTGATAAAAGTAGTTTTATTTAGGGTAGCTCTTGTAGGTAGAACCAATAGGACTTTCTGATGAATTGGACATGAGAGATGAGGAAAAGATAGCAATCAAGGATGATGCCTAGGTTTTTGGCCTAAGTTACTGGGGAAAATAATTAAGGCGGAGGGCAACAGGTTTGGTGAGGTGGGAAAGAGTTCTTTTCTCCATTCCAATTAGTTTACCTGTCCTCTGATTCAAAGGCCAGGAAATTTCTACAGTGAGGTAGGGCTACTGCCTCCAGCATTTCTTAATTCCTGTCTCCCTGTAGAGGTGGGGTGACGCCTCAGAAAGAACAGGCTTTCTATATGCCTGCGTTTAAATCCCGCCTCTGTCATCTCTTACTTCTGTCACCTTGAGCAGGTTGCTTTACTTTTCCAAGCCAGTTTCCTCATGAGAACTTTGTTTCAGGATTGTTGTGTTAACTGATTGAGCATCTGTTAGGTGCCATGCATTGTTCTTAGTGTATTATGGATATTAACTAGTTTAATCTGTGTAACAAACAGGTGAGGGTAGATACTGTTATTTTCAGTCTTACAGAAAAAGGAATTGAGGTTCAGAGTTACTAAGTAACTTGCTTGGGTCATAAGCTAGTACATGGAGGAGCTGAGTTTGAACCCTGAGAGTCTGGTTCCAGGATCCTGAGCCTACTAAGCACCTGTATCTTTAATGGGTAAAAGTACCTGGCCTATCCTGGGCCTGCCAGTGTTTGTTCTGTACCACCTCCTCTGTCCTGCTTTCCTCCTTAAGCCCAAGGATCCAGATATCCAGATGCTGGGCCTTGCCTCACAGTCCAGGGGCTGGGTGTTGAGTTCTTCCACTTAGCTCCTTGCCTGCTCCTCCTTTAGAACCCTCGTAGCAATTAGCAGAATTCCTGTGCTGTCTTACCTGATCTCCAGCCCTGCCTCCTTAGGTGGACATCTTCAATAAAGAGCTCCTGCTAATCCCCATCCACCTGGAGGTGCATTGGTCTCTCATCTCTGTTGACGTGAGGCGGCGCACCATCACCTATTTTGATTCGCAGCGCACCCTGAACCGCCGCTGCCCTAAGGTTTGAGAGGAAAGGGAAAGATGGGCAGATTGTGGGGAGGAGATATAGTGGCAAGGCATTTCAGGCAGAAGGTTGGGTTTTGGGTCTCTGATGAGCAACCTGGGCTTGGTGCCTGTGACCAGCACAGCTTGGGTTCAGTTGGGAAATGTAGAGGTTCACTTCCTCCTTTCCTCCATCTACATAGCATATTGCCAAGTATCTGCAGGCAGAGGCAGTGAAGAAAGACCGGCTGGATTTCCACCAGGGCTGGAAAGGTTACTTCAAAATGGTAAGTTCCTAGAGGAGGTTTAAGCAGGGTTAGGGGTGGTGGGGGATGTGGTAAGAGCCAGAAGTTGAAGCTATACCCGTAGGGTCTCTAGGAGAACGGCCTACCTTCTTTTTATTCTCCAGAATGTGGCCAGGCAGAATAATGACAGTGACTGTGGCGCCTTTGTGTTGCAGGTAAGCAGATACTAGGTGGGTTAAAGAGTTGGGAGGGAGGGGGAAACTGTTCGGCCTCCCTCATTTGACTTACAACCACTTACCTAGTGGGAGTAACCCTACGTGTTAGAATGCAGAAACCCTGATTTCATTGGTCCTCTCTTGGCTTCTCCATACCGTGCTGGGACTGGTTCCTTGGGCTCGGACCCTGATATAGCTGCCTCTGATCCCCAATGCAAAGTGTTTTCTGTTAACACTTGATATTTTGTGTACCAAATAGGAACCTTGGCTTTACAGTCAGACTTTTTTTGAACCCCAGCCTATGGGACCTTGGTTTTGTTTGTGAAATGGGAATATTCTTGGAAAGATCCAGTGAGAGGTGTATCAAAAGAAATACGTAGCACAGGTCCTGATTGGGGGGGGGGGGGGAGTCGTGCTCAGTAGGTGGTTCTCATGGCCTGCTTTGTTAACCCCAGTATTGCAAGCACCTGGCCCTGTCTCAGCCATTCAGCTTCACTCAGCAGGACATGCCCAAACTTCGTCGGCAGATCTACAAGGAGCTGTGTCACTGCAAACTCACTGTGTGAGCCTCGTATCCCAGGCCTCAAGCCCATTCGTTAATGGGCAGGGGAACATGGGAGACTCTTCCCAAGAAACTCAAGTTCGTTTTGTCTTTAGCCTCTTTCCACCCAGTTCCCTCTGGTTTTTCATATTTAAATGTTTTGATTTCTGTATTTTTTTCCCCTTTGAGAGAATACTTGTTGATTTCTGATGTTCAGGGGGTGGCCATGGAAAATCCCCTATTTCCCGCTGTCTGCAAGGGAGTATGGCCTTGTGGCCTGGGTGGGGCAGTCATCTCCCTTCCATGTGCAGGGCGGGGGTGGGGGGCAGAAAAATCTAGGGGTGGTGGGCGGGCAATGGGATTACTGCCTGCCAAATCGTCATACATTTTTTATATATATATATAAATGCCACGGTCCTGCTCTGTCAATAAAGGATCCTTTGGAGATACATAGTGGTGGTCTTCCTTAAGGGGCCTCAACCTAGTGGATATGCCCTCAGGCTTTCCTCCAACCAGTGCTGTTAGCTTCCCGCTACGGGATTTAAGATTCCTGGGGCGAGCTTTCCATGCGTGGCTCAGACAGCACCACCACCAACAAAAAGAATCCCCCAGTGGGGGGCGTCAGGCTGGAAGTACAGAGGGTTGGTAAGCCTCAAAAATAAGGGAGCTTGAGAGGTGCTAAAGTTGGGGAAACAGCACACTTAAGGGGGCCGGCAGTATTTATGACAGCAACCCCAGATGCTAGTAAACTCATAAATCAGTTACTCCATCCCTTCTTCCAGCCCACGAACCCTCCTAGCCGCTGGTGTATGGTTCTTGATTCCATTATCTCTGCACATTCGGGGTTTGGTGTCCGACTTATCGTTGGTGCATGAGAGAAGAAAATTAAACATAGGTACAGTGGAGACCTGAAGTAGAGATCGACGAAAGTGGTAGTCCCGGGAGGCCGGAAGTCCCTGGAGGCTGAAACCTCGCCCCCCCTTGCCTGATAGGGCGCGCTAGGCCACATGACCGGGGCACTCGCCTCCGCACGTGTAGGGGTGCAGGGCCCCAAGATGGCTGCCAGGCCTCGAGGCCTGACTCCCGTATGTCACTTCCGTACCGGCAAGAAAGGCGGGTCCTTTAGCCAATGAGGCTGTGGGGCGGGTCTTCACCTTGATAGGCGCTCAAGTTATCCAATGGTGGCTGCGTGCCAGGGCGCCTACGAATTGACGTCACGCCGGGTTGCTGAGAGGCGGCAGGCGGGGCTGAGGCGGTCAAGCCAATGCGATGGCTGGGGCGGGGTCGGGTGCTCTATAAGTTGTCGATAGGCGGGCACTCCGCCCTAGTTTCTAAGGATCATGTCTGCGAGTCAGGATTCCCGGTAAGAAAGATATTTGCAAGAGGTTGTGGCTGCTACTCTTTTTGAAGACTCCAGTGCGGGGAGCTGAGGCCCCCCTAGCCCTAGGCCCCCCAGGGTTGAGGGCAGACTCTAGACGGGAGGATCCGTCGCGTGGGGGGGGGGGTGAGGGGCGGGTCCATGACCGACGTTGCCGCCAGGCCCTGGGAGAGGCCGAGGACAGCTCGGCTTTTGGGACTTAGCGCGCGAGGTTAGTGAGGGACCCTCGACCGACGTGGTGCGCGAAGCCCCGTCACTGAGTCGGGCGGCGAGGTCGCGACTTTGAGTGGGGAAAGATAGAGGCGGGTTTGCGTGGCCCGAAGCCGCCGGTCCGATTCCTGCTGGAGGGAGGGCTCGCGCCCTCGGGGTTCCGAAGGATTCTGACGGTACCACTCGCCGAAGGTGGGGATTCCTGGGTCTATAAATCCAGTCGCTTAGTCGCGTGAAGCTATGGGTCGGGGGAGAAGAAGCCGGCCGTTCAGTGTGCTGGTTTTCTTGACGGCCAGGACCGAGCCTAACCCCGAGGAGCGGCCGCGTGAGGCACCGGGAGCTCACCCGGCGCCGGGCGGGCGGGTCCGTTTTGCCGCACAAGTCGGGCAATTGGCAAACTGCGGATGGGCAGGTCCACTTTCCTTCAGGGGTGAGCGGCCTGAGGTATGGGAGGGCGACGCCATTTCGCGACGGGGGCGGGCGGGATGTGGGTTGTTCCCTGTAGTGGGGGTGGGGGGGCCGTCGCCGGGTGGTCGAGGGAGCAAGCACATGGCTGCTCGAGGCGTTCCCCTCCCCCAGTCCGCTTCGCTGCTAAGTGTTGTGCAATCTGCCCCTTTGCTAGCTCGGCTGGGGCTCATTGTGCGTGAGGCCGCCACCGCCCGCGGCCTCCCACATCCGGGCATTGCGAGGGGGGGAGATAGACTCGAGGAGTGGGGGAGGTGCGGGCGGTGTGACGTGGGGGGAAGGGGATGTCCTACCCCGGCGTCTGGGAGGTGGAGGGCGGGATTTCCGGCAGGCAGGGGCCACGGTGGGAGGTGCACGCGCTTGGGCTTGGAGCGCCGGGACCGGGACACGTGGGCCGGGAGGCAAGCACCACCTCCGCGCCCCTTAAGCGCAGCGCAGTTCCTTCCAGCCTTTGGGTCTTCACGGAGCGTTACTCCATCGTGTCGGGGGTGGCTTGGCCTGAGCCGCTCCCGGGATGGGGCAAAGGCTTGACTCAGTTGTAAAATGACTTGCGTCTTACGGGAACTCTCGTGAGGGTTGGAATAGGGAGTGAAGGCTGATGGCATCATGCAAAGCCGGTTGCTGGTAGGAAGAGATTGCCTGTCAGGATTTCTACATACTCATGTTTTTAAACCAACAGATCCAGAGACAATGGCCCCGATGGGATGGAACCCGAAGGCGTCATCGAGGTGAGGCTGGATCCCTCCCACCCTTATCTTTCAGCTCTGGGAAAGGGAGTGCTGGTAGCATTATTTCGATCTTGCAGTGGGGGTTTAATGAATAAAACCAGAACCCAGGATTCAACTGTGCTATTTAGCTTAAAACCCCCAGATAGGTAGGTAGGTAATTTTATTTCCTTTATGGTAATACATAACGTTTGAAACATGTCATCCAAATTCTGTTCTCCCTTGTATTAACAGCCAGCTTCACTGTTTACAGGTGGGCTGACCGCCTAGGGTGGTTTCCCAGGCTGAGTAGAACCAACCAGCTAGCTTCCGTGGGTTGAAGAGAGATTGTGGGTTCTGAAGTTTTGGTGCAGGTACAAGGGGCCTGTTTGCTCTTACACAGGAGCACAACCCCATTTCTCCTGATTCTTTCGCTTTCTGCAGAGTAACTGGAATGAGATTGTCGACAGCTTTGATGACATGAACCTCTCAGAGTCACTCCTCCGTGGCATATATGCCTATGGTTTTGAGAAGCCCTCTGCCATCCAGCAGCGAGCCATTCTTCCTTGTATCAAGGGTAAGATCCCTCTGCCCTAGAACAAGTTCTGAACTGTCCCTGACCTGGGTAGAGTGGCACCTGGTTGGTGGCGCCTGTCTCATCAGTGAGGGACAAAACAACTCCTTGTTTATCCCAGCTTGGCTTTTGCACTGTGCCCATGCCTGGTTCATGCTCTGGACACATGGATTGACTGCTGGTTTAATCTCTGAGGTAGTGTTTTGGCCATATCTTGCTATATTACTAGACTAATTTTGTGGCAGTACTAAATGACTGAAACTTGGCCCAGTTTTCAGTTCTGTTCCTGTTTGGGTACTGCGTTGTCAAAAAGTCTGAAGCACTTATTGCTGAGCACATAACGTCTCTGTTGGTTGCTTCTTTGATCTCATTCAGCAGGGCTTTTGAACGTCCCATGATTCCAAAGAATGCTTTCTACCATGTCAAATTTCTGTCCCATTTTGTGTTTAGGTTATGATGTGATTGCTCAAGCCCAATCTGGGACTGGGAAAACAGCCACTTTTGCCATATCAATTCTGCAACAGATTGAATTAGATCTAAAGGCCACCCAGGCCTTGGTCCTGGCACCCACTAGAGAGTTGGCCCAGCAGGTGAGTTTACCTTCCTTTCCCTGAAGGACTCACTTAGAAATGATCAGCAGAAACCAGAAGTATGTACCCTAACCACCACTGTTTTTAGAACTGAAGTAAGGGGAAAACAGGTGATGTGAAGTTGGTTGATGACTTCCAGGTCTCAAGACTTACTAGGTTAATTATAAGCTTTTTTCTAACCAAACACTATAAGCATCCCTTACTCCACCCATTTCCTGAGTCAGATGAAAAGGCTGCTGGGTGGAGCCTAGCTGGCTGGGCAAGTTTGGCCATTTAATGAACAAAACTCCCTGGCAATGGGCAAAGAGGCACCTGATTGGTGGTGTTGCTCTTATATCAGTCAGGGGCAAAGCAGATGTCTAGTCCTTTGTTCATCCTAGCTTGATGCCTGGATTGGTGGCCAGAGCTATTTCATGCCTGGGGCACATAAAACATAGGGCTGTTTTCCTTAGTCTTGAAAATATCAGAAACCCCTGTCTCATAAGTTGACTGTTAATCGAGTTTAAGGGAATGTATTCTTGGAATGTTCTATGGAGGTGTCATGGTCATTCTGTGCCTAACTTCTGAACAAAGATAATGTAAGCAAGAAGTTAACGTAGAGCTCTCCTCTGGGGCCTTAGGGTCTAGAATACGATTCAAAAGTGAAGATCTAACATAGGTTCTATGACAGGACTACAAGAGGATACAGTAGTGACCATACAGAAATTATTTCAGGGCTATTTTCGTGAATCAGTGTGTGCATTCAGGAGCCATCCTGAGTTCAAATTCTGAGTCTGCCTTTTATCAGCAGAGATCTTAATCTTACATGGTATGTTTACTGGTTTCTTGCTTGAGGGGTTAGCTTAATAATAGTGTTTAAAATGGGGCCTGGCAGTTGGAGCTAATATACAGGCACTGTTCTTGTTCTTATTCTGATTCAGATACAGAAGGTAGTTATGGCCTTAGGAGATTACATGGGTGCCTCGTGCCATGCCTGCATTGGGGGTACCAATGTACGTGCTGAGGTGCAGAAGCTGCAGATGGAAGCCCCTCATATCATCGTGGGTACCCCAGGCCGTGTGTTCGACATGCTTAACCGGAGATACTTGTGTGAGTGCATCAGTTTTCTAGTCCTCTGGGTCACTTCCCTATGCATGCTTTTTTCCAGTTTCTTAATTTGGTTATAATTTCATTCCCAATGATATCCTCTGAAAGAGCTGCTCTGTGATGAACCCCATGCGTGTCATCTGAGCCTGGCTTCCCTGTCATCTCAGCCCAGGTAGTGTTCTACTTCCCAAGGCTGTTGTCTGGCCTGGAAAGGGGATCCCAGGCAAAGGATCAACCTTTGTATTCTGAGAGCAGACTGCCTGTCCTCTCTTCTTTATCAGGATAGCTAGGTGTATTTCAGATTTTTTAATAGCTACCTGTTGGTGTTTCCTTTTTCTTGCAGCTCCCAAATACATCAAGATGTTTGTACTGGATGAAGCTGATGAAATGTTAAGCCGTGGATTCAAGGACCAGATATATGACATATTCCAGAAGCTCAACAGCAACACCCAGGTGAGGGCAGGACATTGGGATGGTCTTACTTGTATGATTGATAACTTTGCATATAGGTTGTGGTGTGCTTGGGGGGTGATGATAGAAGAGCATTTATCAACTGCCAGGGAAACCATGGAATTCTGGAATATTCCCTACCCTGAAGCTGCTTTTCTTTTTCATTAGGTGGTTTTGCTGTCAGCTACAATGCCTTCTGATGTGCTTGAGGTGACCAAGAAGTTCATGAGGGACCCAATTAGAATTCTTGTCAAGAAGGAAGAGCTGACGCTGGAGGGTATCCGTCAATTCTACATCAATGTGGAACGAGAGGTGGGGCCCAGTGCAGGAGGCGGACCTGGTGGTGAGTTGTTGGGTATAGCCCCTGACTGATCTCCTCCCCACCCCCACCCCCACCCCCCAGGAGTGGAAGCTGGACACACTGTGCGACTTGTATGAAACCCTGACCATTACCCAGGCAGTCATCTTCATCAACACCCGGAGGAAGGTGGACTGGCTCACCGAGAAGATGCATGCCCGAGACTTCACGGTCTCTGCCATGGTGAGGTTCCTCTACCTTGTTTACCAGCAGAGTAAAACATGTCAGTATTACTTACAGCCAGTTCAGAAGCAACAGACCTACCCTTAACACCATTTCATTTCCTGTTTTAGCACGGAGACATGGACCAAAAAGAACGAGACGTTATCATGAGGGAGTTCCGCTCTGGCTCTAGCAGAGTATTGATTACCACTGACCTACTGGTGAGTAGAAGGGCATTGGACAAGACTGGAAGGAAGAGGAGAGAATCCAAGGTGATTCCCTCTTCCAAGGGGCCTACTAGTGCCCCTCTTCAGGAAAGTAGCAACTTGGAATAAAATCTGGCATGCCTCAGGTGTCTGAGGAAAGGGGGTGTTCATTTCCTTTGCCTGCCCTTGGCTGCCTACATGTATGCTTAATCCTGGATAGGCTTGTGCTTTCTATTTCACACACTGAAACTGCCTTCTTTCTTTACATAGGCCAGAGGCATTGATGTACAGCAAGTTTCCTTAGTCATCAACTATGACCTCCCCACCAATAGGGAAAACTATATCCACAGGTAAATGAAAATCTGGTCTTGTTAACCAACCCAGTCTGACTCCCTCTTGCCCAATCCTCTCTACAGAGAAGCTTCTGATTTTTCTATTTTCCTTTATCCTCACTTGTTCCAGAATCGGTCGTGGCGGACGTTTCGGCCGTAAGGGTGTGGCTATTAACATGGTGACAGAAGAAGACAAGAGGACTCTTCGAGACATCGAGACCTTCTACAACACCTCCATTGAGGAAATGCCCCTCAATGTTGCTGACCTCATCTGAGGGGGGCTGTTGTGCTACCTAGCACCAGCCAGGGATAAAACCTTGGAGGGGGCTGAGGAGCAGCAGGAGGGGGGAGGGAAGGGAGCCAAGGGATGGACATCTTGTCATTTTTTTCTTTTTTTTTTTCTTTGACTCTTTGAATAAATGTCACTTTTTGAGGCAAAAGAAGGAACCGTGAACATTTTAGACACCCTTTTCTTTGGGGTAGGCGCCGTCTTCTTCTCCCAAAAACACTAATCCATTTCCCTAACCTAGTCAACCTCCAAACCCTAGAGGCTCTCCCACCCCAGCTGAATTCCTCTGAAAACATGCATTCAGTAGGGGCTACAATTTTGCTCCACCTCATCTGCTGGGCCAAATCTGGAGGGCGAACCCCTGAACTAGGTAGCCCAGGGGATTGTCCCCAGGTGGGGGGAGCAGGGGAGAGAAAATGGTAGCCATTTTTACATTGTTTTGTATAGTATTTATTGATTCAGGAAACAAACACAAAATTCTGAATAAAATGACTTGGAAACTGCCTGCCTTGGCTTCTCATTTCTTCCCTCTTCCCTCCCACCTGCTGTTGGGTACGGTTCTGCCCCCACCCCCAGCTAATAGTTACTTTCTGTTGTGCTTTCTTAACTGGAAAATGGTTATGTTAACTAGGGGGTATGACCTTTCCATAGGGGTTGAGCAAGGACCATCATAAGCACCTCACATGTTTTGACAAAGAGGAAGTGATGGAGGGAAAAGGGAGTGTTCTGAATTTATATTCTAGTGAGCTCTCCCATAGAGGGGCTGCTGCCTCTGTAATCACTTGTTGCAACTGCCAAGCACATTTTACTGAGAAAGACAAATCCATGAGGATCAACTTCCCCAAAACTCCATCTCACTACCCACATGATGCTGCTAGCTCCTTTGGTGACACCAGGACCAATCATTTAATGACTAAGAGATCACGGTGGCTGGGGCTGAGGTGCCTGAGTCAGGCTGGGGGTGGGATCACCGCAGTTAACAGGAAGTCAGAGATTTCCTCTTTTTTCCAAGCAGAAGGCAGAGGGTACAGGGTTGGTTGAGCAGGCAGCTGGTACTAACACTGCTGGACTCTGGGTGAAGGCTGTTCTGTCATGAGGTTGGCTGTGTTCTTCTCTGGGGCCTTGCTGGGGCTACTAGCAGGTAAGGAGGAAGGGGACGGGGGAGGGGGCCCCTGGGAAGAAACCTGCCCTGGGTTGCTAACCAGTCTTTTCCTCAAAGCCCAGGGGACAGGGAATGACTGTCCTCATAAAAAATCCGCCACTCTGCTGCCATCCTTCACGGTGACACCTACAGCTACAGAAAGCACGTCAAGCCCTAGACCAACCAGCCACAGAACTACCAAGAGCCACAGAACCACCACTACCACCATGCATACAACTAACACCACAGGAACCACCAGCCGCGAGTCCCCAACAGCCACTCATAGTCCTGCTACCACCACCAGTCATCAAAATACTACAGTTCATCCAACAAGAAACAGTACTGCCACGAGTTCAGGACCCTCCACCAGATCCCCCCACCCAGAACCACCACCCTCTCCAAGTCCTAGCCCAGGCTCCAAGGAGGCAATAGGAGACTACATTTGGAATAATGGTTCCCAGCCCTGCGTCCGGCTCCAAGCCCAGATTCAGATGCGAGTTCTGTACCCAACCCAGGGTGGAGGAGAGGTAAAGCTAAAAGACAGTGGAGGACATAAAGGGAAGGGGGTGAGGAAGAGCAAAGGAGGAGACAAATACAGACTGAAGACAAAGGGAACATGGAATGGCAGAGCTGTGTAATTTTGTCACCTCTCATCTTTTAACTTCTACAGGCCTGGGGCATCTCTGTATTGAACCCCAACAGAACGAAGGCCCAGGGGGGCTGTGAAGGTCCCCATTCCCACTTGCTCCTCTTATTCCCCTACGGACAGCTGAGTTTCGGATTCAAGCAGGTACTAACCCTCATCCCTCCCTCTCACCCTATCCCTACCAACCTCTTGCTATACTCCTTACTCTATACCTGGATGCCACTCTCCCCTGCTGCCCTGAGTCTCCCGGTCACCTCCCCAGGATCCACCGCAGAGCACTGTCTACCTGAATTTTATGGCTGTGGAGTACAACGTGTCCTTCCCCCAGGCAGTGCGTGAGTAACCTTCCCTTCCTCACCACTTGCACTAGATATTTGGGTTCCTGAAGGGACCCAGGCTAGTGGGTGGAGACATGGATATGGAGCTAACTCTCCTCATTCTTTTAGAGTGGACATTCTCAGTTCAGAACTCATCCCTTCAAGATCTCCAAACCCCCCTGGGCCAGAGCTTCAGTTGCAGAAATGCAAGCATCATTGTTTCACCAGCTTTACACCTTGATCTTCTCTCCCTGAAGCTACAAGCTGCTCAGCTGTCCCCCTCAGGGGGCTTTGGACCAAGTAAGACCTATTTCTTCTCTCCTAGAATTTTCCTATTGCACTGAAAGCCCCCACCCAGGCTTATACTCTCCCTCCTTGCACCCCCAAATCTCCTCCTCCTATCAAGCTTGTCACAGCTAGGGTAACTGTCCTTCCTCCTCTATAAGGCTCTCCCCAGGCTCCCTTTTGTTTCCTGCTCCGAGACATCTAGGTGAGTGCCTCACCAATCTCTACTTCCCAACATCCCCTACATTCCTTCCTCCCACCTTGATCCCAACCACCACCGTGACACCCACTTTACCTGTCTTTCCACCAGGTTTCTCTTGTCCCAGTGATAAGTCCATCTTGCTGCCTCTCATCATCGGCCTGATCTTACTCGGCCTCCTCGCCCTGGTGCTTGTTACCTTCTGCGTCGTCCGAAGACGCCCACCCTCTTACCAACCCCTCTGAGCATTTGTCTCAATACCCAGGGCACCAGGAGGTGCTCTCATTTCTCATCACTCAACTGGCTCAAAAAGATAAAAGTTATCATCTTTCCCTGTCTTGATGAACAAAGAGATAATGCAGTTGGGAGGGATGAGGGGAAAGATGTTTATTAAATATGACTGATTCCCCATCTCCCACGGGAAAATAATAAAACTTGCTCAAATCTTTATCCTTGGTTTTCCTTGTCCTTCCTGCCAGGATTAAAAGCCGTTAAGTTTCTTGTCACACACCTTTTGGTACCTTCCATGGCTGGTCTAAGGGTCCTAGAAACAGCTCACCAGGAGCGATGAAAATGTCACTGTGTGGTGCAATGCCCTCATGGATTCCTCCTTCAAACTCTGGCACAGCTGCTGTCAAACTGGCCTTGCCTCCCTTGCTCCTCTTCTCCTGGGGTCTCTGACTGCTCCGGTCCAATTGGGCTCTCCTCCAATCCAGGGGAGCCACCCATCCCAGCAGCCTGTCAAATGCCCTGCCCTACCCACTGTGTCCGGGCTAGTGAACAGCCCAGATTAAACTCTGGCTGCATCTGGGATGCTCCTATCTCACCTGCAAAGGATTTTCATCAACCACAGGAGCAATGCCTACTCTGACTTCCATAAAATATCCTCTATGCTCCTGGGCAACCCACAGTCCCTGGTGTGGTGCCCCCTAGTGGTGGTGGGTGGCACCTCCCCCCCCCCCCCCCCAGGACAGCCCCAGTGTGGATTCTAAAAAGCATCTCCCCGACCGCCCTAGCCTGAACGACCAGACCAGGGAGTGCTAAATTCCCCTTTATAGTTCATCGCCCTGTGAACATCCCCAGGGCCAATATGGGGCCCTTCCAATTGTAGGAGCCTTGTAAGGCTACAGAAAGCAGCCGCCGAGAACGGCGGACCCACCCTTTTTGAGGGGAGCACGTGGCTGAGACCCAGCAAACACACCATCGCCTCGCGACACCTCATAAGACCCTGCAGTCTGTGGTGCAGGAGTCGCCAAAGGGTGTGGTACTCCCAGCAGGTGCCCAGCCACCAGAGCGCAATGACCAGTGCCATCTCCACCAAGACTTGGTGTCCTGGCACTGGGTGGCAGAAGGCATCGCTCCTGCTGTGTAGTCTTGAGATGCCCCAAGGCGAGATGCTAGGGCGCCTCCGTCTGGCTCAAGTCCTGGCTCAGCACGTGGTCTTAGGAGGCCGAGGAGGGGGCCTTGGCCCAGAGGTGGCGCCCTCGGGCCAGTGGGGTGAGAGGGAACCCCGGGGCCTTCGTTTCACAGAAATGGCCAGGGCTGGGCCCGCGTAGGAGCTAGGGACGCTGCCATCTCCCGAAACCGGGCTCTCCTTCCCCACCGCCCCTTTTTCTGCTTCACTGTCCTGGCCCAGCGCACCCATTTGCCAAGGCCTCGGCGAACCTGAAGAGAGAGAAGCATGGGCCTTGCGCCTAAGGTGAGCGGCCTGGCGCAGACTGTCTCACTCCCATCGGCGCCATGTCCTCTGGAGACACCGAGAGTACAGGAGGTGAAAAGCTACATCGCCCACACCCAACGCCATTTTGGAGACTCACGCCCCTTCTCTCTCAACTTCGAACAATGTAGTAAGCTGGAAGAAAACAAGATGGCGCCGAGCAGGAGGAGCGGAGAAAGGAAGGAGGATAAATCTTACTGCGTAAACAAAGGCTCGAAAAATAGAACTGCGCAGGCGTACAGCTATGGCGCGCTTTAAAAATCTGAGCAGCAGGGAGGGCGCATCCAAAAACGTGGTTTCCAGGCGAGACCTATTTTACGTTAACGAAGGTGGGATGGCGTAAAGAAGAGCTGGGGAGGGAGGCGGGGCGCGGTCCTGCTTAGTGGCGGGAAGGCGGGAGGCGGAGCGCTCGGAGCGCGCGTGCGCACCGTCAGTCAATGGCGGTTTGAGGGATTGGCGGAAGTTAGCTTTGTAATATGGCGGCCGAGGTAGACGGGCCACTTAAACGGGTGCTGGTGCCGCTTCTTTTACCTGAGAAATGCTACGACCAAATTTTCGTCCAGTGGGACTTGCTTCATGGTAAGTTTTACTTGGTATCGGGTCAGAGTTTTGCTCCAGCGCTCCCCGGCCGTAAAGGAGCCATGAGTGTGGAATAAGTGACGGCGGCGACCATTGCCACGGCATTCCGGGCGGAAGTCGTATCTGAAAGGGGCGGAAGTGTCTCGGGCTCCGTAGAATGAGGACTCCATATTTGGGCGAGAGGGGGAGTTGCCAGGTGGGAGTACTTTGCTTTAGCGACCGATGAAAGACGGAAAGACTCAAATTTTACAAAACACAGTTTAAGATCTGATTAGATCGTTCTAACATCTAATAGATCTGTACACCTTCAGGAGCAATGTTACAAATGATTCAAAGCCTCTTATGAATCGAGGCCTTCTGTGGCACCCCCAAGGCTCCTGCCATCCTAATGGCTTTCCTCCCAGCCTCCACGTTTGCTCACGGTGTAATTTTGGAATTAATTTGTCTGGCTTCCTTTTTCTATCTACTAGGCAACGCCACAGCCAAAACCCGCCTCTGACGTCAGACCTTTAGGGAAGCCTTCACAGTCCACACCCGTCAGTTTTTTGGTACCCCTTTGTTCTCCCAGGACAATGTTTTAGCTGCGTTCATGACCCATGATAGTCAGACTACCACTGGGGCAAACACCTTGGGGGTGGACTTCCAGGCTCGAGAAGATGTTGGTAGCTAGAACATAAAAGCAGGACGTCGAAGTTCCTGAGTAGGGGCCAGGAACAGTGTTCGAGAATGAGCGATATAAAGGAAACCTATCCTTGGAGAGAAAAGACTTGTGGATTGCCTACTTGCTCACAGGCGGGGAATAAAGGGTCAGAGGACTCTTGGGCCTTGTTCAGCTCTACACAGGGAAGCAGTGGAGAGCCCTGGAAGTCAAATGAAGGAGTTTAGGTGTGATGGTCGGGGAACGGAAGAGTGGGTGAGAGGAAAGAAAAGGTAAAAGCTGTTGTGGAGTCACCTTGTCTGAACGTAATATAATTTGGAGTAGGAAGAACTAGGCCTTTTTTATCTGCCGTCGGACCACCCAAGATGTCCTTTTGTGGGTATGTCAAGATCTTAAAGCACTTAAAGCCTTTAGGTCTGCATGTCCTGGCCTGGGTTCCAGAGGTCTCATCTCTGCTTACTTTCTCTTAGTTCCCTGCCTCAAGATTCTCCTCAGCAAAGGCCTGGGGCTGGGCATTGTGGCTGGCTCACTTCTGGGTATGTTTCTTATCATCTTCAATTCCTGCTGCTGGGAGGTGGGTAGAGTGCTGAGATAACATAAACTGAATGGGTCCCTTAACTAGAAGTGGTTAACATACCTCCAGGTCTGCTCTGTAGCTGTTGTGCTGTGCACCCAAGGGATGTCAGCTCCTCAACCTTGCCCTTCTCATCCTCTTTTCCCAGTAAAACTACCCCAAGTGTTTAAAATACTGGGAGCCAAGAGTGCCGAAGGATTGAGTCTTCAGTCGGTGATGCTAGAGCTAGTGGCGTTGACTGGGATCATGGTCTACAGCATCACCAGTAATTTTCCCTTCAGGTGAGGGGCCCTGCCCTTTATCTCCAAGGGTAAATGCTCACAACTCTAATGGGGGTTAGAGGGAGGGAGGTAAAAGGGCAGGAAGGCTTAAACCTTTCTGGAACTCTAGTCATCATCTATGGTGATGATGAGAGGAGGTGAGCAACCCAAGAACCCCCCGTTTCCAATCCTGAATCAACTGCATGGGGTCTGCTGGGAGGCAGGAGGTAAGGGACCAGTAGGGCTGTGACGGATAGGGAATAATCAGAGAATTGTGTCCCCAAGATGGATGGGCTCTGGAGGCTTTCCCTGCCTCTTCCAGGCCTGCCATTCTTCCTCCCAACTCTTGACTCTGCAGCTCTTGGGGTGAAGCCCTGTTCCTGATGCTCCAGACAGTCACCATCGCCTTCTTGATCCTGCACTACAGAGGACAGACTGTGAAAGGTGCTGAGGATTGACCCACAAGCTGGCTGCCAGCTCTCAGGAGCCTTGCTGGGAAGGCAGGCTTGGGGAAGCCAGGGGGCTCAGAAATTGACAAGGACTCCTTATTTCCCTGTCTCCCAGGTGTTGCTTTCCTAGCATGCTACGCCCTGGTCCTGCTGGTGCTGCTTTCACCACTGACGCCCCAGGCTGTAGTCACCCTGCTCCAGGCCTCCAACATGCCTTCTGTGGTGGTGGGAAGGGTGGGTGCTGGGAACAAGGGAGAGGACGTTGGGAAGGGGGCTGGGTAAAGAGTAGAGGAGAAACCCAAAGTTTGCAGGGGGTGGGACTGAGAATAGAGAAATGACATGGGAACATGGAAAGAGTTCAGGTGACAGAACAAAGGGTGTCTCAATTCTTCCCTTAGCTGCTCCAGGCAGCCACCAACTACCGCAATGGGCACACAGGCCAGCTCTCAGGCATCACAATGTTTCTGCTCTTTGGAGGGTCCCTGGCCCGAATCTTCACCTCCATTCAGGTGAGTGCACCTCCTTCCCTCTAGAGGGCACCATAACTTCACCTTACTCTCCCTGCCCGAGGACTTCAAGCTGCCTCTTTGGAACCCTTTATCACTATGTTTAAGTGACCCTATCTGTGTCTCTCACCCAGGAAACTGGAGACCCCCTCATGGCTGGAACCTTTGTAGTCTCTTCTCTCTGCAATGGCCTCATCGTTGCCCAGGTCCTCTTCTACTGGAATGCCAAGGCTCCCCACAAGAAGAAAAAGCAGTAGAGTTGAGTTGGCTCTCTGAGTACATTCCCATGTTTCCATTCATCCACCCAACCTTGGGGTCCTTCTCATCTGGATCAGTTTGCTGGTGTGACTTTTAACCATTCCCTTCTTCTGCAACTTTGGCCCAGATCCTTAGGAAGGGAGTGGGGTGGAGATTTTCAGGCTGACATTTTAACATCGTGTGCTGTCCTGTGTATATGCTCTGGACTCATTTAAACATTTGGCTAAAATTCTTCCTTTAGCAGAAGTTTCTAGCTAGTTAATCTATTCTGGGCAAAAGTCTTACCCTGTCCTCCCCATTTCCCCACTTCCCTTCTGACCCTGAAGGACAGAGCCTGGACAGTGGAAGGGACCAGGTGCTTATGGTTTCCTTCCTCCCCCAGCCTGGCTCAGACTGTCTCCTGGACCCCAGTGCTTGGTGGGGGGTGGAGGGGGGGGGAAACAGAAGAATGACTCAGGCAGGGCCCCAGGGTGGGGTGAGGAGGTTCCTGCTCTGGCAGGTCCAGGCGGAAGGGAGTGGAGACTGCTGGTTCCTGCTGCAGTAAAGGGGAACAGAGATGGAACAATAAAGACTCAGAGACATGGTTTAATTGTACAAAACTGTATTCAGCCTACAAAAAAAAATCTGTGGGTGTTGTTCCCCCTAGCTTTCTGGGGTTTGAGGAGTACTGCTCATCTCTGAACTGTGGTCCAACATAGTTCGAAAGGATTAGCAGCCTGGGAGTGGGCGTGGTGGTGTTCAGGGTAGAAACTTAGAAAAGGAGACTGGACACCTTTCTGGGCAGGCCACGTCTGTGAGGGTTAGAGGTGGGTCAGGGGCAAGGGGGTCCCTGAGAGGGGTGGGTTGTACAGAGTGGGAGAGCCTGGTGGTGGGTAGGGGCTGTAAGCGGGGAGTAGCTCCCCCTGGAGCCTTGGGTTACTCTGAGGGAGAGAGCACGGCGCGGGGCCCTCAGGTTTGCAGTGGGAAGAGCTGCAAAGAGAAACACCATGGTTAGAAGGCATTTGTTCCCTGGGTTGGAGGTGTCAAGTAGGGTCCCCAACTCGCATGTGGGGGTAGTTCTGACAAGTTTTACACAGACAGGTAGAACTAATCACCCACCCCTCCATCCCTGGCTATCCGGACCCCCCTAAGTACCAATGGTAGGGAAGGGAACTGGATGGCTTAGAGCTGCACCGCCGCCGCAACCATGTCGGGGCACGCTCAAGTGCGAGCTTGCGTGCCGCGTGCCTGTTTTCCTCTTTTGGGGCGGCAGGCCAGGAAGGGGTAGAGTTGGGCTTGGCCTGTCCTTGCCCCGGGGCTGGGAGAGGAAGCCGGGTCACACGAGGGCCAGAAGTGGGGGCCCGGGTGGGGGGAGGGGAGACGCGAAATTCAGGTAACTAGAAGAGTCACATCCAGGTTGCTGCTCCTGCAGTGTCACCACCAACTGACTGATGGAAGAAAGACCCTGGCTCCCCCGAAGTCTCCCACCCTTCATCGGGCACCCTCCAAACTCCTCCATGACTGTCCCCTACTTGGGTGGGCTCAGGACCCCTGCCAGCCAGGCTGTCTGATATCTGCCCCCACCCAGGCTCTAGGACAGGGGCACAAGTTTCTGTCATCCTGTTCCCCGGGTACTCACGCATAACTGCCAGGAAGGTAGGCTGTCGAATAGTTGGGGGGTTGGTACCCAAAGCCTCTGCTCCCCTGGTTGGCTGCATATCCAGGCCCCCAGACTGGCCCGCCGCCAGCCACGCCACTGCTTCCCTGGCTGAAGTGGGGTGACCCGGCGCCCGCGCTCTTGGTCTTGCGCCGGGGCCTGTACTTGTAGTCGGGGTAGTCGCGCAGGTGCCGGGCTCGGAGCCGCTTAGCCTCCTCCACGAAGGGCCGCTTCTCATCCTCTCCCAGCAGCTTCCATTGCGCGCCCAGGCGCTTGGAGATCTCCGAGTTGTGCATCTTCGGGTTCTGCTGCGCCATCTGGCGGCGCTGGGCGGAGCTCCACACCATGAACGCATTCATGGGCCGTTTGACCTTCTCCAAGGGAAGCCCCCTGGAGACAACTGGGCTCCCGGCGCCCTCCCGTTCCTGGGGGCCCGAGGACGAGGAGGTAGGGGCCGTGGGAGTGGGAGGGCCCAGGTTCCAGGCCTGGTCGTGTGAGGAGCCCGGTACCGCCATTGGGGAGCAGAAGGGAAGCCTTCAGAGGGCGTTTCTACACGCCCTCCCCTCCAAAGTGAAACGTTGATCCCCAAACCCGGTATCCTAAGTGTCTTTATAATCCGGAGTCTTCACAGAGAAACTCGTGTCCTTAAAGGTATAAACCGCCCCCAAGTTCAGAGTCCTTACAATGGAGCCCGTGCTTCCAACCAATCCGGCACTTCGGCGGAGTCCAGCACAAAAACCGCTGCCTGGTACCCGCTCCTGTACAGGATGTGCTCTTTCCTTGTGGCTGCGAGGTTCCCGGCGACCCAGTCTGGCTCCCGCTGCCCGCTGCCCGCCAAGGGCCCGGCTTCGGTGAAGGCGGTAAACCTCTGCGACTGGGGGTCCCGCAAGTGCCAGGCGGCGTAGCCCAGGTGCCACGGCCCTCTCTCACCTGGTCTCAGCGTCTGTGGCAGGCAGGTGGGCCAGGCTGGGGAACAGCTTTTAACGACTGGCTCCTCCCCACTCCCTCCCAGCCGACCGCGCCTCCTTAAGGGCGCCAACATCCCCCTCCCTTAGGCCAACCCAGGTGCCCCGTTCTTCCCAGCCCCCAACACTCCCCCCCCCCAGGGGACCACACCCCCTCTCCACCCTAGACCCATAAGTCAGGCCTTCCAGCCCCAGTAGCCTGAACATCTACCCCTCCCTTCTTAAGCACAGCAATTTAAAGTCAATATCTTTGCACAATGGGATCAAGTAGAGGGGGATCAAGAGCCCTCAGGGTCAGAGTTGTGCTGGGAAGGTGGGAACACCCAACCCACTAACCCAAACCTTTTTCTGGTGCCTACAACTCCTCAAACCCCTGACCAGCCCGGGGGCAGAAAAGTCAGGCAGTCAGGAGGCAGGCAGGCAGGCCATTTTTGTTCCCTGAGTCATCCCAGCAGGTGCTTGGGTGGTGATACAACCCCTTGCCAGGTGAGAAAATTTAAAACCTCACCACTATAGCCCCCAAACCTAGGTTTCTCCACATGTTTTATCTCTAAACCTCAGAGTTGGGAGGCAGGGCGTGAGGAAGCCCAGGAAGAATCAAGGCTGAGATATCAGTGATATGGATGCTGAAGAGGAAGCCTGGATCCAGAGCAGAGTACCAGCAGGAATGAGGGCTCAACACCTAGGTTCCAGGGGCTGTCTTGAGGGAACCCTGCTCCCCACGCTCCACAAGGCCCAGCCCAAGCCCCAGGCCTCAGGTAATTGGATTAAGCAGCCTGCCTCTGCTCTCAGCTCTTAGCAGGAACAGCTCCAGCTCTGAGCAGCCCTACCTAGCCCGCTGTGACTCAGGGTATAGGAGTGGCCTAGCTCCCTCCACCAGCAAACCTGGGGGAGGGGAGAAGCAGCAAAGCACCAGCTGCTTTTCTCTAGACCAGGAGGGTACCTGGGCCTGGGGAATTCAGGAATGTCAGAAATTCCCAGAGGTAGACCATCTCTGGAATGCTAGAGAAGCCAGGTGTGGTGATACAGGACACAAGGGCCAGGGCAGGTCACTCCTATAGAAACAGATGGACCAAACTGGGCACAAGGAAGGTACAGGAACCAGAGAGCCATTTGGATTTTTTTTATTCTCTTTTTAAATACTGTACAGTGAAAAATAAATACGCCTTCTCATCCACCAGACAAGGTTGGTCCCCCCCTCCCCTGGGGGACCTTGTCACCCCCCTTCATACACACCCCTGGTTCTACTCCAAAACCTTCCCCATGCCTCCCACCCACTTATACCCTTACTATCCCCGTCTTCCACAGTGATGAGGCCCCAGAAATGGGGGGTACAGGATGGGAGGAGGGATAGCAGGGGAGCCCCCCTGAACTGTCAAATCTGGGTGGGTCAAGAAGCACCCCGCACCAACAGGCGGAGAATGGGGGTGTTCAGAGAGAGATTGGGGCATTAGAGGATAAAGGCACATCCAGTCTGATGGGGAAGGAGAGAGGCTCCCCTCACCCTGGGGGTAGGGTGGACAATAGGGAGGGGGTAGGACCCTGTTACACACCCCTCCACTAGCTCCTGGAGGCTGGGGGGGACCCAAGCTGCTGTGCCACCCCCCTCCCCCCTAGATAAGAGCAGCTCCAGCGCAGGTCAGTCGGGCCTGTGAGGGCCATTGGTGTTGGGCAGCAAGCGAGATGGAGAAGGGAGGGATGCAGGCTGGAGGGTTTATGAAACCCCATTCACCAAACTACCCAACTCCAGGGGGGCGGAGAGCTCCCCATTCTCTGAGGGGCCCTTAGGAAGCTTGCTGACAGAGTCACCCTGAAGGGAGAGTGGGAAAAGAAAATGGAGAGAAAGGAAAGGAGGTCAGTAGAAATTCAGGTAATGCCATTCCCTACCACCTAAGAGCTCCAGGCATCTGGTGGGACCCAGGGGTTGGTTGCCAGTAGTCACTTTTACTGGGATAAAGAAAATATGAACCAAATGGCCCTTTCTCTTCTATACAAAATTTTCACTATTCTACATGCAGCCTGAACTCCAGCTGCATGCCTTCCCTGCAATTTCACAAGAGATTTCTTAGCGAGTTTTCATGTGCCCCCTATTCCAGAACAACACAAAAGGGAGTGGGGGTAAACTATGTCTTCCTTGCCTACCTTCTGCCCTGAAAGAGAATCCTCTGAAGGTTTAGTGCGTTCCAGGGGTGGCCGCTGGCGGCTCTGAGACTTTGCTCGGGAGATATAGTCAGCCACAGTCACTGGGGAAGACAAGAGGATCAAGTTTCAGAAGGAACCCAGGTATCCAGCCCCTAGACACCCACTGAACCCCAATCCCTAGTTTCCACAGGATAAGAGGCATCCTGTTCTCTGAGGCAGTCTGCTGGAATCCAGTGTTAGCTCACCTGGCTGACGGTCTCCACTGATAGAACCATCAGTCCGGTTACCACGGTTACGGCGGCGGCGGCTCCGATTACGACGCTGGGGTCTTGACTCATCTTCTGTGGGGCAGGGGAAAATGAGAACTGTGCATCAATCTCCCACCCCCTCAATTCTTGCCCAGTTGTAATTTTTCAAACCCTCATACACCCCTTACCCAGGCCATTCTCTGTCATGCTGGGCCCGTCAGATTCTAGGCCTCCATCCATGACAGTCCTGTCTTCATCGGTGCGGCGGCGGCGGGAGCGGCGGCGTCTGGCACTTGCTGGGGGGGGTTCCCCAGGCTCTGAATCAACTGGGGGCTCTGGTTCGGATGTGTCCAATAGGCTGTAGGGATTACTGTCCGGGTCCTTCAGCACTGGTTGGAGGAAGAAGGAGTTGGGAGTCAGGTGTCCACCATCTTTCCTTTTGGCCCACATTCATGAGCCCAGCTGTCTGCTTCTGGTACCTGAGCTAATCGATGAAGAGTTGTATCTTGAGGTGGGCCGGGGGGCAGGTGGGGGTCCTCTACCCCGGCCTCCTGTCGGACGCCTCCGGCTTTCTTCCCCCCGGGTCGGGGGATCCCGGTCGCCAGGCCCAGCTCGGGTGGGCTCCTCCCTCTTCTCTGACTCCGTCTCAGAAGCTGTGGATAGGTCTGAGTTGGGGCCTGAAGAACATAGTGGCATTCAAACAGGGTCACTCACCCTATCCCAGGATCCATCCCCACCCCCAAGCTGGAAAATTCTCCCTCTCACTCCTCAGTCCCTCAGCCAATCACTTCATCTTCTCAATCACCCTTTCCTCAAGTTTCCACCCAGACCTCTGCCTCCCACACCCCACCACCGCTTGCCCCCCACTCCCATGGCTGTCTCACCATAGGCAGGACCGCCTGTCCTCCGGCCCCGGCCTCGGCCCCCATAGCTGCCCCCATAGGTTCGAGTGGTATGAAGGGAAGAGGAGGAGCTCTCATCAGTGGTATATCCAGCCTTGTCACTGCTGCCACTGCCCCGCCCACTTCCAGGAGGCCGAAAGCCCAGCCCAATCTGCCGAAGCTGCTCATCAATCTGCAGCCTCTCCAAGCGGAGCTGCTCCACTTCCTGGTTGGGTAGAAGATGGAGAAAAAACAAGAAAGGAGAAGTGTAAGATCAACAGTCTCTCTTCACGCTTCTCTGCCCCACTGTCCCTAGGGACCTGAACTCTCAGGAACACAAGGCTTAAAACAGGGAAAATGATGGGTTCCAACTCCACAGCCCCAATTTTCCACCTAACAGTTTCTATTCTACTCAGAGACACAAACTGGAAACCACCACTTTTAACTCCATCCAGCATGCTCCTGAGTCCCCTGTACACGTAGGTCTTTCCTCTCCCAGGCTCCTGGCTCGGGTACCTGCAGGTAGGAGAGGTGATATTCCAGCAGAGCCTGAGCATTGCTGATGTTTTCTCGGGTGCCAACAAATATGAAAGGAACCATGCCCTGGAGAGCAAAGTACACATGGATTAGAAACAGACTCAAATCAAGTATTAAGTCCACCTTGTCTTCAAGAGAAACCTACCCAAAAGGGATCTTTCTGGGCTCTCCATCTACTAGGAAAAACCAAAGTTCCCATGCCCCATCCTCTAGAAATCCCAGCCCTCAAGAGAATGGCTTGGAGAACAATCACATCTACTCTGGAAACCAATCTCTAGGTGTAGTTGCCCCATACCTCTTCCCTGGGGTTCTTCTTGTCATTATCACCTTCAACTCGAACCCTCACCACACCAGATTTATCCACAATCTCCTGGATCACTTTCCCGTTCTTTCCAATCACTTTGCCTGAATAGGTAAAAGAGGAGTTAGGCTTTTTTTTTAAGGAAAGAAAAAAGAGCAAAAACAGACAGTTTTCCAGCTTCTATGAAATAATTCTATTTAATGAATCTCCTGCTTCTAGGCTTCTGGTGTGTTTTCACAGGACAAAATACCACAATCCCTAGAAATTAGTTCTCCCATTTTGGTCACTCCAACTATGGACTGATCTGTCCTCGTGAAACGAAGTTCACCGGGAGGTGTGAAGCCAGAATCACTTTAGAGCATCTCACATCTGGCCCCCAACATGTTCTCTTATATACATACACCACCTCAACTCACCAACCAGGTTCCTGGGCACTTGCACAGAGTCCTCAGAAAACTCAAGATAGCTCCGGGCCTGTCGGCATGCTTCAGGAGTCTGAGAAGAATTGGGAGTTAGTAATAAAACAGAGGACCTGGATCTCAAACAGTGATCTTCCTGCTACTCTCTGTCTTTGGGAAAATGTGTTGTCGCCAAAGTCTGGGAGGGAGGAAGCAGCTATATACCAGTTAAAGAAAACAAAAAGTATGCATATTAAAAAAAAAAGGGGGAGGGAGGTGAACATGACAGGCTTCCTTTATATTTCACACACTCTTCTCTCTATCCCTGAAGGGACTTAGATGACAGGTATCTTATCTTTTGCTGACCTCCCCATAGATGCGGAAAGTGCAGGTCTCTTCACCCAATTCAATAGCAGTCACCCCAGGTACTTTTCGGGCCTGCTGGATGTTGGCACCGTGAGTCCCAATTGCTAGTCCCATCAGGTCCTCTCGCACTGTGAACTCCTCTTGGAAAGCTGCTGCTAGCTGCTTACTTGTCTGAAAGAAAATAAGACACTGACCTATAGGAATCATGGTGAAATTTCAGACACCTGTCCCAGGAATCTGATGCTTTGCATAACTTCAATAAGAAAAGACTGTGAAAGAAAGCCAGAACTATCCGGAAGTCCGCTGACCACCAGGACCTGTGTGGAGAATTTAGGAATGCTTCATTCCATTCCTACCTTCTCAGTACCAATGGCTTGGTGGGCAGGGGAGGTAATGGCGGCAGGGTTTGGGCTAGGAGCCATCAAAGTTCTGGATTTGGCTCTAACACGACCTGGTTGTATAATCCCAAACAAAACATACTCTCTGTGCCTCTGTTGTTATCCACTAAATGTTTACACCTGACCTGCCCCATTCCCAGACTAACAAGAGGATTAAATAAGACTGGTGTTTAAGAAAGGGCTTTTCACATAGCAAATGCAAGTGTAAGGAATATTTACCTTAACCAAATCAATACAAACTCCCAAAATAAAACCCAAAAAGTTGAGGAGAAAGCACAAGGTTGAGAAAAGCATTAAAAGAGGCTATGACACACCATGCTACCACTTCATTTCTCAACCAGTCCTCAGAGGGAGGCCTAAGGACAAGGGTGGCAAAGGGGAAGGGCCCTGGCAGCACCCTGAGGAGCACCCCAGAGTACAGGTTACCATGCGCCAGAATTTGCACGGGCCCCCATGGAGATCAGTTCACTTGATTAACAGGAAATGGGTGTTCAAATAACACATACACACGTGCACCTCATTTAGGACAGTATAATTCCTAAGGGAATCTGACCATCATAAAATATCAGGATTCAAAAAGACCTTGCATAAACACTCTCCTTCAACTACCTCATTGTCACAGATAAGGAAGAGAAAAGTCACTGGAATCAAATTATTTGCCAAAGGTCAATTATTTGACAAAGCAAGACAGGACTGATCCCAAGACCAGGGATCTTTTCCAGTGTACAAATGGCTCTCACAAAGTGGTTTGGTTCTCAGAGGTAATTTGGGGGCACCCAGTGGAGGTAAGACCCACACCCTCTTCCACTTTTAGACAGACTTGTTCTGATTCATCTGTCTTATGCATTGTGCTTTCAAGTAAAATTTCACTTGGTCACAGGGTCCCGTAGCTTTAAAAAAAAAAAAAAATCTTCACACTAAAAACATGATGGAGCTCTGCCATCCGGAGGAGTCTGAGATGAAATAGCAGACCCAGGTTTAATGGCCCAGAAAGACCTTAACCTCTGTTCTGTAAACATAAAGAGTATGAGTGGAGGATGAGGTGGGAGGGAAGACAACAATACCATTCAGCAGTAAAAAGTGGAGCCCAAACTTACCTCGAGGTGCTTGGTAGCTTCTTCATTGCGCGACATGAGCAGCAGTTTGGTTCGCAGGCTTCGAAAATGCATATCACCCAGCAGGGATGCTCGCTTCACAGGGGCTTCCGTGGTTGACTGGAAAGAAACCAACAGAAAAGTCACTAAAACTGCCTATGTTTTAGAGGAGAGTCAGGAACTGGGAATCAGGACACCTGAGTCTCCAGAAAAGGGCAGGAGTTTAAGAAACAAAGTTGAGGAAGAGAAAATCATTGTTGGTCTCACAACAGCCTACTATCTGGGTGCCTACGGGAACTGATTTTACGTGGCAAGCACAGGTGAGAATCATACTGTTTCTGAGAGTCCAAATATGCAAGAAGGGTCCTTGACCCAAACTGCAATATGATGGTCAGGTTGAAAAAAAATTAAGGTCATACATGAGAAAGACTAAGGAATAGTAGGGCTAACCTGGGTCCACAGGAGTCAGGAGCAATAAAGTCCTCTCTGACAAATAAATAGAAGCACACTTTAGCTCTTCCCTTCTTGCAAAAGAGTTAAAAGGGGAGAAGGGTTTCAGTGAAGTTCAGGCAAAATAAACTCACCAGGATGAAGAGCTCACTATTTGTGATGTTGAGAAAGATGCAGTTCGCTCCCAACGCTTTCTTAAACTCTTTATGGACGTTTTCATTGGAGCAGCTGCAGAGAAAAAATAACAGTGCTCAGAGGGCAGAGTGTAGAGTATAGCTGAACATTCAGGGGAGAGAGAGGGACTGAGAAAAATATGGACTGCAGTTAAAGAACAGAGATGAGGAAACAGAACTGGGAACAGAAAGGACTCTAGAGGGCCAGGGAACGGAAAACACACTGGAAGCAGGGCCTGGGACAAACACGTGCAGAGATGAGGACCATAAAGGGGGCCCCACACCCAACATCCCAAACACTCACGCCTCTCTCAGATCCTCAGGCACAGCCATGGTAACCTTGAAGAAGCTGCCTTTGGTTGCAAGGGGATTGGGATTAACTGGCCGAAGCCGTTCCAGGGTGACAATCTCATTGTAAGTGGCATCGCAGGCAGCATATTCAATGACATAGAACTGGCAGAAGGAAAGAAAGAAGAAGGTGTGGATAACATGAGCTTCTACCTCCCACCTTTCTCTGACAAAAATGTTTCGGCAGTTCCCCAAAGACCTTGACAATCAGTCACTCACATCTCCCTTCATCATCCGCACCCGGGCCAGCCACCAGCCACAAGGCTCTTGCTCATTGGCTCGAGAATAAACCTGAAGAGAAGTTGAAAATAAAAGAGATCTTGAGGGCCATCTAAAAACATCAAGAATAGAATGAGCATTAAGACTCTTGGGAGGCATCCTAGGCCAAGATGAAGGAAACTAGAGGAAGGTAACTAGAGGAAGGGGCTGCTTGTTAAAATCAGAGGACACTGGAGTTCAGATGCTGTTATCATAAATGGAAGAAAAGCGGATCCCCTGAAACTGGGAAGCTCCCTAAAGGTTTGATTGACACAATGGTGATGGACAGAAAACTGCTGCACTTCACTCCTCCATGGACTGCCTAGCTAGATGGAGGAAGGAGAGTGAAACAAGCAGTAAGGAGCCTATAATACCTGTATCAGGGTAAGGGAAATGCAGAATCCTGGGAAAAGTGATGTTTAGAAAAGGTGGACTTCAGGCCCTTACCTCCACTTCATCCCCTTCTGTGATCTCCTTGTTATAGTCAGCTGGAGGTGGCAGCCGGACATCCCCAAAAGGAATCTGTCTCTCACTCTGCCAGCTGCAAGGGAAACAGTGATATGATAGCTATTCAGGCTAGTGTGGTTGCCTGTTTCTTCAGAAAAAGGTAACTTCCTCCACTGGACATTTTCCACCTTCCCTGGTGATTAGAAGCTAAATTCCAGGCTCTGCTCCATACCAGTGTCTTCCATCTCTTGCTAGAACCTAAATACTGAGTCAAATGCCCCCACCAGCACCATTTCCTCTCCTAGGATCCATACAGGTCGCCCACCCAAACCCCTGGCTCTCGCCCACCTATTACATGCCTCATGGGACTCAGTCGCCCCTTCTCCACTCTCCTTCTAGGACCTAGTATGCTGGATTCTCTATTCCCAAGGTCTTACTTGTTTTCAAAGAAGATGGTGACAGAGTCTTCATGGACATCCTTCACAAAGCCCTAGAATGGATTTTAGAACAAAGTGAAAAGAAAAAAAAAAAAAGACAATTAACCACCACCTCAGCCATTAGAGGAACAGACACCTTTGCAGCATCTTATACTACAGGTTGGGCTTCTCCAGTGGCTCAGTGGTAGAGAATCCACCTGCCAAGCAGGAGATGTGGGTTCGATCCCTGGGTGGGGCAGAACCCCAGGAGGAGGAAATGGCAACCCACTCCAATATTCCTGCTTGGGAAATGCCATGGACAGAGCCTGGGGGGCTACATATACTCCATAGGGTTGCAAACAGTCAGACCCGACTCAGCAACTAAACAACAAAAGTAGGGTTTCTTTTTCATTTTCTGGCTGCACCACATGGCTGGTGAAACAGTTCCCCGATCAAGGATTGAACCCAAGGCCATGGCAGTGAAAGCCCAAATCCTAACCACTAAGCCACAAGGAAACCGTGCCGCACCCCGCCCCCCACCCCCGCCCCGCCTTTTTCGTTTTGAAACTAGTTTTAGATGGGAACATAAGCTATCTAAAAACCGGGCTAGGGAAAGCTGCACTGGGGAAAGAATACAAATGGTGAGGTAGCAAGAAAAGAAGTAATCCTGGCATGGACAGAGACGTTACAAAATCAAGAAATAAGATGAGACAGAAATTAAGTAGAAGGAAAAAACAGCACTTGTATCAGAACAGCCTGAAAACTAGTGGTCTCCTATGGCTCCCACAGGGGCCTCCCTATCTGTCTGCCTCCTGCTGTACTGAGCAGCTTGCCAGAGTTCAATTAAAATACCAACAACATTCAGCAAAGCTAAGAATATCCCATGAGACAGTGTGAGGCTGTCCTGGAACACCTAGAGGACATCAGGATCTGCCAAGAAAGGGTCTAGCTCCTAACACAGCAAGAGACCTGAGCAAACTTGCTGCTTTGATACCTGGGCCATACGAAAATAATCAGAACACTGGAGAAGTTCAAAATCCAAAAACAACCTACAGAAAGAAAAATTAGGGATTTAAAAGACGTGAGGGAATTCCCTGGTGGTCCAGTGGTTAGGACTTTCACAGCTGTGGACCAGGGTTCAATCCCTGGTAGGGAACTACAACCTACAAGTCACGTGGTATGGCCAAATAAATAAAGATGTAAGATTTTTTTAATGCTAGACCATGACACTGCTAAGAATTTGTAAAGGGTAATAGAATTTGTAGAAGACCCCAAACTTGAGATATTGACAAGGAACAGCAACAGGAATGACTGAATAGCTGGTCTACCTCTTTTTTTTTTTTTTTGGCCAAGGCAGTGAAAGCGCTAAGTCTAAACCGCTGGACTGCCAAGGAATTCCCTACTTCCTATTTCCTCTGTCTTCACCGAGGAAGCCAAAGCTATGAGTTCAATCCTATGCTCCCAGTTTTCCTACCTTTTCTATTTTTCAAATACTCAAAATTAGGGATTGCTAATTTTGATAAAGTCCAATTTATCAATTTGCTCTTTTGGTTTCATATCTAACAAATCTTCACCTAATCCAAGACCACAGAAGTTTCCTCCTATGTCCCTGTCTAGAAGTTTTATAGTCTTTATTTTACATTTAGGTCTATGATCCATTTTGAGTTAAATTTTTCAATATGGTGCCAGATACAATTAAAGTTCATTTTTAACCTATGGATGTGCAGTTCTTTAAGCACCATTTGTTGAAACATTACTTTTTCTAGTAACTGCCTTTTCATGTCTGTCAAAAATCAGAAAATTCAAACTAATGTATAATGACAGAAAGCACGTTGGTGGAAGACTTTTGGGAATGATGGAAATTGTGGTGATGGTTCATTTTATATATATGTCAAAATTTAAATTGTATGCTTTAAATTTGTATGCTTTGTTGTATGTCAATTATGCCTCATTAAAGCTTTAAAAAAAATTAGGGGTCTCAAAAAGCATATATATATAAGAACTATTCCTAAGCTTTGCAGATAGGAACAAAATATGAGCGTAGGAGACAAAACACCAAATATGCACGTGTGTCACTCCCACCTGAGGGAGAACTGATCAATCGTAAACACTTAATTCACTGTTCTTTCCTTAAATCTAAACTTAAAATTTCCCTCTTGATATGAGCCGTCTTCCTCTTCTTTGAGACAGGATCTCATTATGGAGTCTTACTACCGCCCAGTACTCCTGGTCCTGCCTAGCTTTAGATACCCATGCTTTAGCTTTCTCTGCCATTCCCTTCCTCGGAAATGTTTTTCCCACTCTTCATTCAGCTCCATCAATGCTCACTCCTCTTCTCCACTCACAACTGAGGCACTTTTACTTTTCACTGTTTGCCCAAGTTCCTCTTCTCTTTTGGGTTCTTCCCTTTAACTCCTCCCCTCCCCCCGCCCTTCTTTTTTCCTTAGCTCCTTTTTAAATGTCCTCCTCCCCTCCTCCCCCAATGACTATTATATCTCTTCCCTCTCTTTTCTTCCTTTATAAGGGTCTGTCTGGATTTCTCTACAAATTTCATCTAGCCTCTGCAGATGACTTTATCCAAAATGTCTATCTCTAAGCTTTAGAAACAGTTAACAGAGAGAGAGTTAGCTATTTTCAAAACATTTCTGGGATGAGATAAAACACTGTGGAAAAGATAGAAGAGAATCACTTGCCTGCCTTTTTTTGTGACGAGATTCCCCACTCCTAGATATAATCATTCACAAAAAATGCACTTTTCCCTCACATTACTCAGCAGTTCAACAAAACATCACTCATTCTTATACTTCTAAGGTCTTTTTTTGTCAAAGATTCTCCAAAACAAGCTATCTCCTCAATTTCATATTCCAATTCACTCTCTGCTCCTTAATTCCACTCACATTATCCCAGTTTTTTCCTTCATAGATACCAGTGGTAGAAAGTGAGTTCCTCGTTCTGCTCAGACCATGCTCACTGAGAAGATAAGCAAGGGAGGGTAACAGCAGTTGAGTGAATCTCTAGAAGGCTACCTAGATCCAAAGGATGACTCAATTCAATTCAACAGTCATGGCAAACGGGCTTTGGCTTATAGGTGGATGCTATATCCTTAATAAAGGAGTAGGTATTGGGATATCCAGGCAAGGTCTGGAAAGTTGGATGACCGTGCCCTGGAAGATGAAGATATTTCACTTGGGAAGAGTACACCTTAAAGAATAATGTACATTAAGTTCTGACAGAAAAGGAAGAGTTGATGGGATAGCTACAAGGTAACTTCTGATATTTTCAGTTCTAGCCTGTAAGAAGAAAAACAACAGGACCCAATTCTGAGAGGGATGAAAGGAACCTCCCCAGATTTATAGTTCTAGAAGCAATGTAAACACTCCTTGAACCACACTGAAGTCTGCTGAGTCATGAATATTAAATCAGCAGCAAGGTCAGATTCAGTAAGTATACGGTACTGAAAGTTGAAGAAAGATTACTGAATTTAAGGATGTTTTTGTTGTTCAAATGAGACAAGGAGCAGAAAATGCTAAAGTGGCCAAAATAACAACTCCTTATTACCTGGCTTTTAGTTGAACTCCAAATTCTGTTCTCTGATTCAAAGCATCCTATCTTTAATTCACTGAATCAAGTCTATCACTGCCATATAGCCCACAGGACAAAGGAGAAAGATTGAGAGACAGACTTTCTACTGAACACTTATATGAGGAAAGGGAAACATGCCCCTTCCCAGCAGTCTCACACAGTTAATCTGAACTGGATACCCATCTTTCCCATGCTTTCTGGAACAAAAGCAAACATTATATCTTGATCTCAGACTCAATTTAAGAAGCACTTTCTTGGGGCTGGGAAGGACCCTGATGAAGGACAGGATACTGTGGGAAATGAGGTTAAAATCTTATGAGAAAGGGTATTTCAACAAAGGTAATGCAAGCTTGAGGGGAAAGGATACAAGAGACAAATGTACTCTATCAGAATCAGAAAGGAATTAAGAGACTTTGCCAAAGAAAACAAATGCTATGGAGGCACGCTAGAGAAAAAACTCCCATGAGTTACGAAAGTATGTAGAAAAAGAATGAAAGAAGGGATAAGTTGGGCGCTTCCTTCTTCCATGTTAGCTGGGTCATAGAATAGGTAGTTTTGGGGGATTATGCAGAAATACTAGGATAAAAAGCCACAGACTTAAATTGAGAAATTAAGACAGATGTGAGTACCCACAGGCACCGAAGAATATAAAGAAATCTGGTGAGGGGATGTCAGGCAGGAATGAATAGGCATTTAGAGAGGGTCAAAAATGACTACACTGAACTTATCAATTGAAGCTGGGGCAGAAACCTACTCCAAGAGTTAATATAAGGCCCTTTCCAGTTATGGCAAGGTAAGACTTCACAGGGAAGGAGTTGGAAAAAGTCATTTCCAAGGGTACGAAGGTAGAGAGGTCTACTATGGGAGGAAAGGCTTGAGGGGAAGTGGAGGAAAGGGGGCTCTTGTCCTCACAAATAACGGATGAGAAGGTAACTGTTCCTGCTCCTCAGGGCAAAATGAGAGAACAAGACAGGAAGCAGGAAAGTCTCTGAGACAATCCCAGGCATAAAGCACAAAGAGGTTCAAAATAACAACATAACAACAGTGGCATAAATAAAAATGCCTGAGAGGCAAGAGGGGTCTCCCTCTAGCTTAATATAAACGAAGGGGGGAAAAGTGTCCTAAAAAATAGATTCAGGGGACTTCCCTGGCAGTCCAGTGGGTAATACTCTGCACTCCCAATGCAGGGGGCATGGGTTTGATCCCTGGTTGAGGAACTAAGATCCTGAATGCTGCACAGCCAAATAAATAAATATTAAAATGTAAAGACAGCCCTCTTCTCCTTTAAAAAAAAAAAAGAATAAATAGACTACTGGGTTTCCTAATTGGGCAAGTTGACCAAAAGTCTTCTAGAAGTGGAAATCCTTAAGAAAAAGATAGAAGGAATCCTCATGAGATCATCTCGTTTTAGATAGATAAGAGATTAGGAGTATGAAGCTTACACTCCTCAAAATGAAGAAACTATATGAATGATCTAAATGTATGAGGTCAAAGTGAGATGACAAATACAAAACCATCCTCCGGTAAAGAGCAGACCAACTAGTCTTGGAAATAAAGGGGTGGGGTGAGAAAGACTTGTGAAAAGATGCCACCTTATGGCTAGGAAGCAACTAGACTGATACAGCCCAGAGTTCCTGAGGTCAAAGATACTAAATGTCATAAACAGCTTCTGACCGTTTCTCCTTGGGGTGGGAACAGAAATATAAGATGAAAGTGGAGTGAGTCTTCCAGAGCCAGTAGGCAGAGGCCTCTCCGAGGAAGATGAAAGGATCTAATATGGGACGGCCTTCCCAAGGGGGTAATAGGGGAGAATAAAGAGAATTCTCCATGTGCTTGGACTGTGGGGAAGAGGTGATTAAGATCCAAGGTATGTCTTCTATTAGGAGACAGGAAAAGTCAATGAGACGCTGGGGTAAATGGGGTCTCTCCTGGGGGATGCGGGGGCGCTGATCCAAGCACAATAATGCTCTGATGTTCATTTCCAGAGATGCGGGTAAAAGCAGGTGTAACAGAGGGTCCAAAAATAAAAAGGGGTTAACTTCCAGAGGTCTCCCCCAAGGAGGGCCGAGGGTGGGATCGTGGGTCCAAGGTTCTAAGGGTCAGGGCTAGCTCCAGAACCTCGATCCCGCCCCACTCTTCCCCGCTCTGGCTGGAGGGAGGGGGCTGAAGACCGCGTCCCTGGCCGGCGCGCCGCCTCACCTTGTAGAAGGCCCCGTTGGAGCCGCGCACCTCGACGGGCAGTCCCGGCTCCACATCCCCCCCCGAGGCCAGGCCGCCCATGGCGCCGCCACCGCCTCCGACTCCCCCGGCGGCGGCTGCAGCAGCGCTCTGAGTACGGGCCGGGCCAGGTCCCCGGCGTCTCCCCGGAGGAGGAGCCGGAGGGGGAGCCGCGGGGGGCGGGAGCCGGGCCGGCCCCACGGCGGCCCTGCCACAGCCAACGAGCAGGGGGCCGGGGCCGGGCCGCTCCCCGTCCGCCGCCGCCGCCTTGGTCTCCGCCACCGTGAGGAAAACGGCTGCCGCCGCCGCTGCCTTCGTCACCTCAGCTTCCGCCCGCCGCCGCCCCCGCTGCAGCCTCAGTCCCGGGACCCACTGCTGCCGCTGCCGCTCCACGGCCTCCTCCTCCCTCTGCCGCCGCCGCCGCCGCCGCCACCTACTGCGCAGGCGCACCGGGCACCCGCCCGCCGCGCGCGGGCCCCGAGGGCCACGGCGCACGCGTCAAGGCTGGCGACCCAGCTCTCGCTGGCCAGCGCATCAGGGCTTCCACACTCCTCTTCTCTCTCTCACGCCCTCTCCTGGTCGCTGATTTACGCTTGCGCAGAACCAAACTGATTCTCTTTCTTTGCCACCCCACCATTCCACAGCCCTGTCTCTTCCTTTCCCCGCCCCACAACACAGAGAGCTAACCAATCATGGGGAGGGAGGGGCCGAGCTCGCTCAATCGGATTGGGTTTCTGATGCTCCTTGGTCAGACCACACCCACTTCACCGCTGTGCGCTCCACCAGGCTTGGAGAAGTTAGGGACGGGCATGCGCCTGAATGATTGCTTGGTCACTTTCTCCACCTTTGTCTTTTTTGGTGCGCACGCTCCGGGGGGAAAAAAAAAAGTTGGAAAGCAAAAATGGGCCTAGTGCGCGTGCGCTGGGCCTTCTCGTCCACATGCCGGTATGGACTCTTTTGAGTGTTTCTGTTTCTGCGCGTTAAGATTTAAATTAAGAGTCACCTTCTTGCCTTGAGAAGATTCTGATCCTGCATATGATGAAAGGTTAAAGAAAGATTTCAAGACAATACCGAAAGGCAAATGCAATTTGGCACAAGATTGATATCTAAATGCTGAGAGATTTCAAAATGGGAAAAATTGTTACTGAGAAAGGATAGTAGAGGGGAAACTTAGGATTCATAAATTAAGTAAGAAATTTAAGTAGAAGTGAATAAAATAGCCAAGAAATTAGGATCATGTGTGTGCATCTAATCATTTAGCAAATATTTATTTAGCCCTCACTGTGTTCCAATTACCCAAAACAAGGATTTTTTAATATATTGGAAACGGCGCAATCACATTTAAGTAAATAAAGTGATTAGAGTTCATCTGAAGATGTGTTAAAGATGAGGACTAGGATAGAGGGGATCCCAAAGACACAAACAATGGTCAGTTGCCCTTCAGCATGATAGGGGAAGACCACTGCAGTGGAGGTGATGCAAATTGAGATTTGAGGGATAAGTAGGCGTTTGCTAGAGGAAAAATACAGTAAAAGTATTTTTGAGAGAACAAGGAATAAACAGTGCAGAGGAGCAGAAACAAAACAAAACATGTCCTTTGGGGAACCACAACTAGTTCAAATAGCATTTGGCTTGAAGTAGGGAAGCTAAACTGTGAAGCACTTATAAATCAGGTTAAGGAGAATGACCTTCACTTTATCAATACTAGAGAGTCACTGAACGATTTTAAGCAGTAGTGTAAGTGCAGTGGCTCAGCGGTAAAGGGTCTGCCTGCAATGCAGGAGCCGCAGAAGACACTGGTTCCATCCCTGGATCGGGAAGATCCCCTGGAGATGAGAATGGTAACCCACTCTGGTATTCTTGCCTGGAGAATCCCAGGGACAGAGGAGCCTGGCGGGCTACAGTCCATGGGGTCACAGAGAGTCAGATACAACTGAGCATAAAGCACATGTCGTACATGTCCATCCCCAACTCCCTAACTATCCCTTCCCCATATCCTTCCCCCCTGCAACCATAAGTTCATTCTCTAAGACTGAGTCTCTCTTTTGTAACTTCATTGGTATCATTTCTTTTTACATTCCACATATAAGGGACGTCATATGATATTTCTCCTCTGTCTGACTTACTTCACTCAGTATGAAAATTAAAAATAATTTCTTTAGCCTTCCATTATGCTCACACTAGGTTAGGTCTTCTACCTCATGCTGCTAAAGCATCGTATACTTTTATGGTACTCACCATAGTTGTAATTTTCATCATTTCTCCAGTGTTTGTCTTCTGCCATCACACTATAAGTAAACCCTGTGAGATCAGAGACTGGGTTCCGCGTGTCTGTTTGACACCAGTATTGTATACCCAGTACTTAGCACAGTTCCTGGCATAGCAAGTAATAACCAAAGGAACCAATGTCCTGTAGGTCAATGGACGTAGCCCAAGACAGGCCTGGGTTAGAGTGGTAAATGTGAGAATTATCATATTGGTGGTTTAGTCATTGTGTCCGACTCTTGCCATCCCATGAACTGTAGCCCACCAGGCTCCTCTGTCCATGGGATTCTCCAGGCAAGAATACGAGAGTGAGTTGCCATTTCCTTCTTCAGGGGATCTTTCCCACCCAGAAATTGAACCTGGGTCTCCTGCATTGCAGGCAGATTCTTTAATGACTGAGCTACGAGGGAATTCCATCAGCACATTAGACATAGTGAAAGCTACAAGAGAAAATTAGATGTCTAGAGAAAAGTGACTTAGAAATGAATTGGGTCCATGATAGAACTCTCAACTACAACAGTATTTAAAGAACTGGCAGGGAATTCCCTGGTGGTCCAGTGGTTAGGACTCTGCATTTCCACCGCAGGGGGCACCAGTTACTTATTTTTTGGGCTGCACCACACAGCATGTGGGATCTTAGTTCCCAGACCAAGGATCAAACTTCTGTGCCCTGCATTTCTGCATTGTAAGTTCGGTATCTTAACCACTGGACGACCAGAGAAGTCCTAAGGGGGCACCAGTTAAATGCCTGGTCCAGGAATTAAGATGCTATGTGCCACACAGTGCCGCAAAAAATTACAAAATAAAAAAGTAAATGAAGGGCTGGCAAAAGAAGAGGTGCGTTCAAGAGTGCCTGAGACAGAACATCAGTGACTAAGGTGGCAGAAATGCTAAAGTGCTTAGACTGTCAGCAGTGATTCTGATGGGGCTTCCCAGGTGGCGCTAGTGGTAGAGCCTGCCTGCTAATGCAGGAGACTTTAGAGACAGGTTTGATCCCTGGGTTGAAAAGATCCCCTGGAGGAGGAAATGATAACCCACTCCAGTATTCTTGCCAGGAGAATCCCCATGGACAGAGGAGCCTGGTTGGCTAAGGTTCCTAGGTCGCAAAGAGTCGGACATGGCTGAGTGACTTAGCACGCAGCGCAGTGATTCTGATAAGGAGTAGAGAGGGAGAATCAGAGAAATTAAGTGGGACAGATTATCAGGAGGGCTGGCTGTCAGACTAAAAAGTTTGGTTTTGGATCCTGAAGCCACAGGAGTGGCAGAACTTTGTTTTGGAAATGGCACCATCATAACTTCCAAGCATCTGGCAGCATCAGTCCTCTCAGATTTGACTTGTACTCTTTTTCATCTGCTCCTGTCATTGTTCAGAATGGCCAAGGATGAGAGTTGGAAAACAGGGGACAGCATTTCAGATGGGGGAATGGCATGGCAGAAGGCCCAGAGGGGAGAGTACGGTGCATCTGAGGGACTGGAAGGAGTCTAATATGGACAGAACTGACTTGAAGAGGACACAAGGCTGAAATAATGTTTCAGATGATGGAGGTTTGGGCCAGAGCCTGGAGGGACTGGCAAGAGGTTTGGACTTTGTGCTGAGAGCAGTGGGAACTGTGACTGGATTTTCAGCAGACTTGCCTTTAGGTGATATTATTTTAGCTGGACTATACAAGATGTGCAAGACGTGTCAACAGAATACCACAGCCTGCCTTAGGATTTTTTTTTTTTTTGCTATACCATGTAGTATGTGGGATCTTAGTTCCTAGCCAGGGATTGAACCCTCTGCCCCTGCAGTGGAAGCATGGAGTCTTAACCACTGGATCACCAGGGAAGTGCTGCCTTAGGACTTCTAAATACATAAAGAGTTTGGGAGGAAGATAGAAAGATGGATAGATTGATAGATAGCTAGAGAGATACTAAAAATGGGGATTAAATGAAAGTTTACAGATTGAATGTTGAGACTTGTCCCAGACTCCCTCTTCACCCAGCTCTGTGTACAACCAGATTTATACCCTCCAGGCAGGAGTTTGGAAGCATCTTTTCTGGGAAATCTGATCAGACAAGGAAAAAGACCTAAGGGTTCTGACATTAGGGGTTCCTCAAGGCAACGGCCTCATGAATCACCCTGTAGTAAAAGTTCGAAGTCCACATGCCTCTCTACCTCCTATACAGACACAATCACAGTTGCCGATCAGTACCTCAGTGTACAGATCTTAAATACGAGCAGACAGCTGAGGATTACCAGACATTTGAGGAAAGTCTTTAAACGAAAGACAAAGGCTAAACAAATAGAGAAAGAAAAAAAAAAGCATAGAGGAAATAAAGGCTATGCAAGGAAGAAAACACTATATTATTTTATTATTTTTTTGAAAACACTATTTTAAAAACCTGTGAATATTCTCAGACAAGAAAAGAACATTTACCCATGAAACAAAAACAGAACATTCTTAAAATGCAGGGAACAAAAGAAAGCTCTTAGAAATTAAAAACATAAAAGCAAAAAAATAAAAATTCAATAGGCATGTAATATATGGCATGATAAATATAATTAACATTACTGTGTGTTACATATGGAGCTTCCCTGGTGGCTCAGTGGTAAAGAATCTACCTGCCAATGCAGGAGACTTGAGTTTGATCCCTTGGTTGGGAAGACTCCCTGGAGAAGGAAGTGGTAAGCCCCTCCAGTGTTCTTGCTTGGAGAATGCCATGGACAGAGGAGCCTGGTGAGCTACAGTCCATAGGGTCGCAAGGAATCGGACACAACTGAAGTGACTTAGCCCAGCACAACACTTCAACTCTCTAGACGCCATAGATCCTATTTCTTACAATTTACACATTTATGTCACCTGCTTGTCCTTGTTCAGTGTCTAAGTCATGACCATTTAACAAATGGTTATTCAACAAAAGGAATAATAAGTCACCATTGAAAGTGATGATGTGTTTAATAGCATGGGAAGATGTTTCTGGTTTATTGTTAAGTGAAAAATGTTTGCAAAAGAGTATGATCCAGTAAAACCACACACACTTAACTAATTATATGTATGTTTATATGTATACATATCCATTGAAAAAAGTCTAAGGAATTGATACCAAAGGGTTAAGAGTAGTGATATAAGTAAGGCTATGGATTCTATTTTTATCAGTTCAGTTCAGTTCAGTCACTCAGTCGCGTCCGACTCTTTGCAACCCCATGGACTGCAGCACGCCAGGCCTCGCTGTCCATTACAAACTCCCGGAGTTTACTCAAACTCATGTCCATTGAGTCGGTGATGCCATCCAACCATCTCATCCTCTATCATCCCCTTCTCCTCCTGATTTCAATCTTTCCCAGCCTCAGGGTCTTTTCCAATGAGTCAGCTCTTCATATCAGGTGGCCAAAGTATTGGAGTTTCAGCTTCAGCATCAGTTCTTCCAATGAATATTCAGGACTAATTTCTTTCAGGATGGACTGGTTGGATCTCCTTGCAATCCAAGGGACTCTCAAGAGTCTTCTCCAACACCACAGTTCAAAAGCTTCAATTCTTAGGTGCTCAGCATTCTTTATGGTCCAACTCTCACATCCATACATGATTACTGGAAAAACCATAGCTTTGACTAGACGGACCTTTGTTGGCAAAGTAATATCTCTGCTTTTTCATGTGCTGTCTAGGTTGGTCATAACTTTTCTTCCAAGGGGCAAGCGTCTTTTAATTTCAAGGCTGCAGTCACCATCTGCAATGATTTTGGAGCCCCCCAAAATAAAGTCTCTCACTGTTTCCACTGCTTCCCCATCTATTTGCCATGAAGTGATGGGACCAGATGCCATGACCTTAGTTTTCTTTTTTTTTCATGATGTTAGTTTTCTGAATGTTGAGTTTTAAGCCAACTTTTTCACTCTCCTTTTTCACTTTCAAGAGGCTCTTTAGTTCTTCTTCACTTTCTGCCATAAGAGTGGTGTCATCTGCATATCTGAGGTTATTGATTATTTCTCCTAGCAATCTCGATTCCAGCTTGTGCTTCATCCAGCCCAGCATTTCTCATGATGTATTCTGCATATAAGTTAAATAAGCAGGGTGACAATATGCAACCTTGACGTACTCCTTTCCGGATTTGAAACCAGTCTGTTGTTCTACATCCATTTCTAACTGTTGCTTCTTGATCTACATACAGATTTCTCAAGAGGCAGGTCAGGTGGTCTGGTATTCCCATCTCTTTAAGAATTTTCCACAGTTTACTGTGATCCACACAGTCAAAGGCTTTGGCATAGTCTATAAATCAGAAATAGATGTTTTTCTGGAACTCTCTTGCTTTTTCGATGATCCAGTGGATGTTGGCAATTTGATCTCTGGTTCCTCTGCCTTTTCTAAAACCAGTTTGAATATCTGGAAGTTCACAGTTCATGTACTGTTGAAGCGTGGCTTGGAGCATTTTGAGCATTACTTTACTAGCGTGTGAGATGAGTGGAATTGTGCAGTAGTTTGAATATTCTTTGGCATTGCCTTTCTTTGGGACTGGAATGAAAACTGACCTTTTCCAGCCCTATGGCCACTGCTGAGTTTTCCAAATTTGCTGGAATATTGAGTGCAGCACTTTCACAGCATCATCTTTTAGGATTTGAAATAGCTCAACTGGAATTCCATCACCTCCACTAGCTTTGTTCATAGTGATGCTTCCCAAGGCCCCCTTGACTTTGCATTCCAGGATGTCTGGCTCTAGGTGAGTGATCACACCATCATAATTATACTTACTTACTTACAGAAAAGCAAGTATACAAAACTATACTTTTTTTGTATAGTTCTTCTGTGTACTCTTGCCACCTCTTCTTAATATCTTCTGTTTCTGTTAGGTTCATACCATTTCTGTCTTTTATTGTGCCCATCTTTGCATGAAAAGTTCCCTTGATATTTTTAATTTTCTTGAAGAGATCTCTAGCCTTTCCCATTCTATTGTTTTCCTCTATTGCTTTGCACTGATCACTGAGGAAGGCTTTCTTATCTCTCCTTGCTATTCTTTGGAACTCTGCATTCAAATGGGTATATCTTTCCTTTCCTCCATTGCCTTTTGCTTCTCTATTTTTATAGGTCCCTTCAAACTTCTCTACAGCAAACCTGCATGACTTGTAATAAAATAGTATGAAAGTGGGAAATGAGTCTGTTTCCCTTCTTGTCTCCATGGGTCCTAAAGATTTATTTTAGTTTTACTAAACTGAAAATAAAGACTTTGTGACTTTTGAAAAAGAAAAAGCACTCCCTAGCTGGTGGATTTTTTTTAAAGTTGGGGCAAAGTAGTCCTTCCTAGTGTCCCTGAAATGCAGCCACCAGGTGGCAGCGTGCTCCATCTATTGAGTTGGTGGGCCTGGCTCAGTCTTAAATTCCATAAGCCAGGCCAGATGTGGCAGGCATTTGTCCAAATCCCAAACTTGACCAACAAGCCTGATGTGCAAGCTGATCCCTTCTCTTCTTTTTCTATATACCACAAGCCAGAGTCAGTACTCCGGTCTATTGAGGGTAAAAGTCGTCTGTCTGACTCTTTTGTGAACCCATGGACTGTAGACTGCTAGGCTCCTCTATCCATGAGATTTCCCAGGCAAGAAAGCTGGAGTGGGTGGCCACTTCCTCCTCCAGGGGATCTTCCCCACCCAGGGATTGAACATGCTCTCCTGCATTGGCAGGCGAGTTCTTTACCACTGAGCCATCAGGGAAGCCCAGAAGTCATCTAAGGCCCACTTTTACCCCCAGGAGCAACATCCACTGACCAGAATGCTGAGGGAGGGGAGGTGAAGCTTATGGAATCCTCAGTTCTTCTACCCAACACCACATCAACATACAGGAGGAATTCTCATTTATTTTTCACGCTTAATAAGGAGATGGGAAGGCCTGCCTCTTCCTCACTTCTGCTCTTTCTTTTTTTTTTTCATTTATTTTTATTAGTTGGAGGCTAATACTTCTGCTCTTTCTATCTGGGAATATTCACCTCTGACCCTCCTTCCCTTCCTTCAGGGAGGCTGTGGTCAGTGGAGACAGTCTCTAAGGAGTGTTCAATTGGTGGGGATGGAGAAGTTGAATCAGTGATCCCCCAGGGGTGGCATCACTTTCCTGCCAACTCCCTCATCGCCTCTCCTTCAAAGCGAAAGCAGTGCCAGCCCTCAGCTTCCGTCAGATCTTGGGCTCCAAGGGCCTTGTACAAGTCCATAGCCCTCTTGTTCCAGTCCAGGACTGCCAGGCGTAACTGGGAGCAGCCCTTATCCAGAGCCACCTGTGAGAGAAGACACTGCTCACTTTCCTGGGGTCAAAAAGGAAAAGACTTTCTCACCCTCCATTCAACCCAGGTGCCTCCCATACAGCTTGGCTTTGCCAGGGCCCAAATCCTAGTGCCATCCCTCTCCTCACCTCAGCCACTTTTTTGATTATTTTGGAACCAATCCCCTGACCTGATGTGGGGAGAAAAAAGAAGGATTGTGTGAGTTGAAGAGGAGCAACAAAGGTCATAAGCTAGGATTAAGAAACAAGGGATGGTGGTCCCTTCATGGGTTGCTTTTCTCCCATCCTGGCCTCTTCCCAGTACCTCGATATTCTGGCTTCACATAGATGTCTTCTAGATAAATATTTCGTCCCTTCCATGTACTGTAGCTGAAGTAATATAGCCCATAGCCCACCACACAGGGCCCTGCAAGAGAAAAAAAGAAGGATCAGGCCTCTGGGCACCTGGGGGAGAGAGCTTTGAGGCTGATTGGAGAGGGCACCTCTAAAGTCGGGGTATTCTTACCCTGTGGCTCCCCCGGTGCAGAAAGAATCTCTGCCACCAAACAGTGATAGAAAGGAGTCTCTCCAAAGCCATCTGCTCTCAGGGCTGCAGAGATCCGGTTTGGGATAAAGAGATAAAGAAGGATTGTGTGCCCAGCCTGCAGTTATTGCCTGGAGAGCCCATCCTTCATTTCCTCCCCAGCCTCTGTCAGGACTCAGGAGTTAGGTCCCTACCTTCTTCACTGATCTTCACCTGGTCTGAGAGTTTCTCGTACTCAGCGAGTTCCTACAGCGTGGGGGCAGAGGCTAGATGAAGGCAGGAAGGCCTCGCTGCTCCCTCAGCAAGACCTCAGGGCGCGCTCCTCCCTCTGCTCCCACTTCCTCCTCCTCCACGCCCCCCACCCCAGCCACTCCGACCCTCCTCTTGGGACCCTGATTTTCAGCCGGCAGCCCTCACCCGAATCAGCCTCAGGATGTTTCCACAATCTCCCTCCTTGGCTTCTCGGATCATCACGAAAGCCATCCTGTTCCCCAACGTCGGGGACCGAAGTCCAGGATCCCCACTTCCGTTCTGCAGGAAGGGGAGACGAGCAACTCGGACCCTTTAAGGGGCCTAAAATTCGGATCCCGGAAACCCGCGGGAATGGCGGGGAACGAGGCGGTAGGGGCTCCGGGGGGCTGGGAAGCTGAAGCCCTATTCCGGCTACTGCGGAGAGAGAGATAGTAAGTGGTCCTCACTGTCTGGGCGCCCCTAATTTCGGCCCCCGCCAGCGTTCACCTGCCAGCCAATCAGCTTGCAGGACGGGTATGTCCCCGCCCCTGCCCCCCCCGCCCGACTCTGCCCCACCGTGGCCGAGTCCCGTGACCGCGCCCGTGGGCAGGGGTCAAGGCTGTACTGCAGAGGCTTTCTCGTCCGAGTTATCTGGGTGTTCCAGCCTCCAGTGGAGAAACCCCACGGCTCCAAAGTTACCTCTTTCTTTAACTGAAGAGTGCAGTGATTATCTGCTCTTCCCTTCGCTCAAACTCACACATTCCAGCCCACCCAGACTCCAGACTCAGGGTGAGCCCCAAGACCTCCAGCTCTTTCCTACTGGCTCAAAATGTGACTTCTTCTGGGGGCATTTATATTTTAAAATGGGTGAGGGAGAGAGGGATGAGTTTCTATTGGTAAATGATTAGGCGTTGTGGTAAACGGATAAGATAACTGGGGGTGGGAGGCAGAACTCCTAGTATCCACTGAATCACACTCGGAGACAGTCCCTCCCTAGGAAGCAAGCCTCAGAGGCCTGGGAAAACACCGAGGGAGGAGCTCAGAGCAGATACCAGGCTTTGAATCTGCATTATCTCCGTTCATCCTCCTTCACATTGACCCCAGAAAGTAGGTATTATTTTTCACATTTTGCAACAGGACACTAAAGCACACTGGTGGGGTGCCTCGCCCACAGCCACCCAGCTGGTGTTTGGGATTCCATGTCTCAGCTCTAGACCTTATGGAAGATGCTACTTGGGGAACCCGGCAGGAGTGTTTCTAGATCTCGTGTTTGTCATCAAGGCAGCCTCTGCAGGTAGGCTTGGAGGACCCAGGAAGGAGAGTGCAAGTGAGGTGTCCTCTCCCAGCTCATAAACTTGCCCAGCAGTGGGGGAGGGTAGTGGAGAAACTCTGTCCCTCACTCCATTTGTCCTCAGAGGGGCCAGAGGGTCAGTGGCCCTGTCTCCTGCCCCCCTTCTTCCCCCAGGGCAACCTTTAACCCTCCAACAACCATGTGGAAGGCTGCCTTCTCCCACGCATTTGCCCCAGAGTCATTGGAGGCTAAAAGAGGACTGAAGCTGATTATGGTGAGCAGAGGTCCACTGGCCATTTGGCACGGGCTACTGCTGCTGTTGTTACTACCACTTCCCAGCCACGGAGGACCGGCCCTGAGACCTACTCTCCTCAGCCAGGTGCAGGAGTGGGACAGGGTGCTATGCCCTGCATGTGTTTCAGTGAGCTACGCTGGGGCTTTGCCCTCTTCTTTGCTTTCCTCCTCTGGCCTGGTAGCAATGCCTCTCCATCCATCTGTCTCTGGCATGTCCTTATTTCGGCTTACTTTTCTCTTCAACAGACAACTGAAGACTCTCCTGCTCTGCACCTCATCAATGGCCCTGGACAAGAACCTGTTACCATTATGACCTTTAACCTCACCAAGATCACAAAGTATGAGATTGACCTAATTCTTTGACCTAGTCTCCTGACATCACCCTCTCTCCATCAGCTCCTCTTTTTGTTTTATTTAATTGAATTATAGTTGATTTACAGTGTTGCATTTTTGGGGTACAGCAAAGTGATTCAATTATATATATTTGTAAAACATGTTATATATATATATTCTTTTTTGGGTTCTTTTGTATTATGGCTTATTATAAGATATTGAATATAGTTTCCTGTGTTATACAGTATGACTTGTCGATTATCTATTTTATATATAACAGCTTGTATCTGTTAATCCACACTCCCAATTTATCCCCCCACCTTTCGCCCTTTGGTAGCTGCGAATTTGTTTTCTATGACTGTGACTTGGCTTTGCAAATAAGTTTATTTGTATCAGTTTTTAAATTCCACATGTAAGTGATAGCCTATGGTGTTTGTCTTTCTCTGTCTGATTTACTTCATTTAGCATGATAATCTCTAGGTCCGTCCAGGTTGCATTGTTTCATTCTTTTTATGGCTGAATAATATTCCAGTGTGTGTGTGTGTGTGTGTGTGTGTGTGTGTGTGTATGGATACCATGTTATATATGTGTGTGTGTATATATATATATGTGCATGTATATATATACCATGTATTCTTTATCCACTCCTCTGTTGATGGACCTTTAGGTTGCTTCCAAGTCTTGGCTGTTGTAAGCAGTGCATCAGTCCTTCTCTTTTCCCTGTCTCTCTGTCCTTCTGTCTACCTGAACTCCTCCTCCCTTAACCTCAAGTCTGTGCTCAAAGTGCATGCCCCCTACACAGTCCTTCCTTTCATGTCCTTCCAGAATCTCCTCCTCTTTTGAGTTTCGGACTTGGGATCCAGAGGGAGTCATTTTTTATGGTGATACCAACCCAAAGAATGACTGGTTTATGCTGGGGCTTCGGGATGGCAGGCCTGAGATCCAGCTTCATAATCACTGGGCTCAGCTTACAGTGAGTGCTGGACCCCGGCTGGACAATGGGAGGTGGCACCAGGTAAGCCAGATTTGGTTATGAGGGAGGCATATCTTGAGCTGGTCTGAGGAAGGGAACGGAACCAAGCTATTAGGCATCCCTCTACCATTGTCACCACATTGAATCCACACAGAAGCCCTATGAAGTTGCTATTCTTGTCCACATTTTTTTCAGGAGGGAATTCTGAGGCTTAGTCAGTTTGTAAGTGACAGGTCCAGAGTGAGCTGGGGTTACCAGCTGCTCACCCTTCAAGTACATATTCTTTCTGGGCCAGACTAGAGTGCCTCTAGACTAGACTGCCTCTCTTAGGTTCCAGGTTTGGTTTGGTTTGGTTTTGGTTGATGGCTGTTCAGCAGTTAGTTGCGATTTGGGATTATTGTGATAGGAGGTGATCTTGAGTCCTTCCACTCTGCCATCTTCAGTATGGCATATTCTAGATCACCTCTGAATAAAGTGGTGGAGGCAGGCTTCAGGGACCTCTGATTCCTCTTCTCTTTTTCTTCTTGCAGATGGAAGTGAAGATCCATGGGGATTCCTTGCTACTCAGGGTGGATGGGGTGGAGGTGCTGCGTCTGAGACAGGTCTTTGGACAACTGGCCAACAATTCCCAGCTCATCATGAGGATTGCACTGGGAGGACTGTTGTTCCCTGCCTCTGACCTCCGGTTGCCGGTAACTGCATCCCAGGGTCAGGAACTGTGACCAAAGCTGATAAAGCATTTCTGGCTAGGTGGCCATAGGGATCTGCATCTACACATTTCAAGGAGAGGGGATGGGGTGAGAGATGCATGGGGGAGGGCAAATGCTTGGGTCTTAGAGGGGAATAAACAGGGTGGGGAGGCTGAGACTGGGTCTCAGATATCCTGATTCCAACATCCTCTGCATCTTCCCTCCCACCATGGGCTCCAGCTGGTCCCTGCCCTGGATGCCTGCCTGCGCCAGGATGACTGGCTGGACCAACAGGCCCAGACCTCGGCATCTGTCCCCACTAGTGTCAGAAGCTGTGCTGTAGAGTCTCAACCTGGAATATTCTTCCCTCCAGGGACTGGTGCAGAATTTTGTCTCCAAGGTAAAGGCTGTTTTCCCCTCCATGACCAGCTCTGTGTCCATATCCCTCCACCACTAGCCCCTTCTCTCCATGAATCCCTAGCCTTAAGACCTCAGGAGGATCGTTTATCCCCCCAGAAATTCCCCGGCCTCATGCAGAGCCCTGGGCCTTCTCCTTGGACCTGGCACTCCAGCTGGCAGCAGGTTCAGGCCGCCTCCTTGCTCTTGGGACGCCAGAAAACCCTTCTTGGCTCAGCATCCACCTCCAAGATCAAGTAAGGCGGGGGATGCTGCCTGTACTCAGTGGAGCCGAGGAGCAATGGGAGAAAAGGGAATTCCAAAATGTCAATAGTATGAAGGCTTCGGGAGGTGGGGGGGGGGGTGCAGAGACACATATTAAAGCTGCACACAGCAAGCAAATGACTTTTACTCAGATTATATATTTTCTTGGGGGTGGGTATGGCCTTATAGAAAGCCAAGACAGGAATGCTGAGGCAGGACTGGGGTGGTGGGAATGGCCAGAGAGAGATAGACTGGATAGACATAGGTAGTGTGGCTGAGAGGAAGAATCCAGGCAGCCAGGGATGGGGCTACCAGGAGTAGGTGCAGTTCGTTCTTCCCTCCCCCACTTATGTCCCTTCCCACACACTCTGCAGAAAGTGGTGTTGTCTTCTGGGTCGGGGCCAGGGCTGGATCTGCCCCTCGTCTTGGGGCACCCTCTTCAGCTGAAGCTGACTGTGTCCGGGGTTGTTGTGAGCCAGGGGGCAAAGAAGGAGATCCTTGCTCTGCCTCCCACGGGCCCTGGCTCCCTCGTTGATCTCTGGGTCCAGCCGCAGGGGCGTCTCTTCCTAGGGGCTTTGCCAGGTAAGAACAAGCGATGTTGAAGATTCTTAGCACATCATGGCAAACGGCTAAGGGCAGGGGGAGAATTGGGAAGGGGCACATTTTTAGGGGAAGGAAACCTCTGGGAGGGAAGAGAAGAGAGAGGATAAGGGGGTAGTGGGAGGAAGTGCTTTCAAATATTTAGGTTGGAGAACTGAAAAAGTGGGAGGAGCTTCTGGATCCAGGTCCCCCCACCCCCAATGTCCCCTCCATGCTCCCTCCCTCTAGGAGAGGCCGCTTCTGCCTCCTTTTGCTTGGATGGCCTTTGGGCACAAGGCCAGAGTCTGGACATGGACCGGGCGCAGAGCAGAAGCCTGAACATCTGGACTCACAGCTGTCCTCAGAACCCAGGCAATGGCAGTGACACCACCCATTAAATCCCCACCTAAGAACCTGCTTTGAATGTCATTCCTTCATTATCCAGCCAATGTTTCTGGTGTGTCTGCATTGTGCCAGGCACTGTGCTGAGCACTGAGTCATACCGAGGAGCCAAACTACCCCTGCTTCCTGTCCTCTCAGTGCGGTGGTCCCTTGGGGGAGGCAGGCATCCATCAAGGACTAACAAGTGAGTAGATAATTGGAAACTCTGATAAGTACCATAAAGGAGCAGTCAGAGAACTGAGAAAGCTCAAGGGCCAGTGGCCTTGACCTACATTGGGCATCAGGGAGGGCTTCCTGAGGAATTGATGACTTCCTAGGCTGAGACCCCAGTAACAGCAGCACAGACACACACCCAAATACCAGTCACCTTCTGGGAGCCAGGAGCCCACCTCCCTCTCCAGCAGCCGCTGCCTTGGGACTTGAGCTTTGTTGCTCTGAGGCTGGTTCCCAGAAACCAGGAGGGAAGGGAAGACATGGGATTTTTCTTGTCCTTTAGTCAGGCCGCTGCTGTCCCAGACAGGAGCAGCAGGGGGCATGAGCGGGTCACAGAGAGATGGTGGCCTTCTGGGACAAGGGGTGGAGGCAGCAGGGAGAAAAAAAAAGCCGGGGTTGGAGGGGGGACGAGCAGAGGGAGAAAGACGCCTCTATCTCTCCTCGTCTCGGCCCACTAGCTTCGTTCCCAGAAGAATTTGTCTTTACTCCATTAAACAAGAACTGGCTTGTGCTGGCCCCACCTGGAAAGAACAGACAGATTCAGGAGTATCTCTGCCTTCAAAGAATGTATGGAGACCTAGCCCTCAGCCCCCAGACCCCTGGAGATTCCTCGTGCCCTGTCTCCTCCTTGGGGTACTCTCCTGCCTCACTGCCAGCTCCCTGGGAAACTCCATTCCCATCCCCCATCTCCAGATCCCATGGGGATCCCAGTGTCCCAGCTTCCTAGGTTACAGGATCTGCCTACCAGTAACCCAGGCAACAGGGTGAGTCACTCACTGGACCTGCTGTTCCTCTTCTACAAGGATTAGCCAGGACCTGAGTGACCCCAGTGTAAGAAAGCTTCCAGAGAGTCTCTGGGTTGGAAGACTCATCCTAGGTCCCTCCTTGAACCCTTACGGTCTCAAGTTTGCAAGGTCTACATTGACTCCTTCCAGTCAGAGTGTTTTACAGGAATATACTCAGCATGGCCAGGGAGACCAGATTCAACTCTGGTCCCTGGGCAATGCTCAGGGTCAGCCTGGGCCACTGGGATAAGTCCATTCAACTGATATTTATAGAGCACCTATTGTGTCCCAGGCACTGCTCTAGACCCTGAGAATGCTTTGATGAAAAGGATAGACACGGGGACCTCCCTGGTGGTCCAGTTAAGACCCTGTGCTCCCAAAGCAGAGGGCATGGGTTCAATCCCTAGTCAGAGAACTAGAGCCCACATACCACAACTGAAGATCCTGTGCACTGCGAGGAAGATCCTGCATGCCTTGATGAAGATTGAAGATCCTGCATGCTGCAAATAAGACCCCCAAAAAAGAGGGGGGGGGTGGTCAGACAAGCCATAAACTGAACTGAAACAAATAAGCAAGGTCATTTCAGGTAGTGATTATCTCAATAAAGAGAGTAAAATCCTATAGTCAATCAGAGGTGGTAGGGTAGAGGCAACATTAGCCAAGTGGTCAGGGAAGGTCTTTCTGAGGCAGTGTCACTTCAGCAGAGACCTGAATAACGAAACCAGTCCTGTGGGGTGCCTCATGTATGAACAAGCCAGTGGGGGTGAGAGGCTAAAGGGCCTGAACACGCCTGGGTCCCCACCAAAAGGGTTGTGTGGAGTGGCAACTTCTTGGCCCCGGGTCCCTGAGGAATCTCCTGAGGGCTGGCTTTTCTCTCCTCCCTCCATCCCATCCTGTCCAGGGCACTCTGCCCCCAACCTCTCTTTCTTCAGCGTGCCCTAGATTCCAAGATTCCTGATTACCATCCAGAGCTGTCTACACTCTTTCATTAAGACTGATTCTGCTTTGACACAGACTCTGCCAGGCTCCCACCAAGGGCACCTACAGTGCCAGTCCAGTGTCCCCTGCCTCTCTCTCATACTCCTAAAAACCTTTCTGGAGCTTGGCTGCGTATGGTATAGCCTCCAGACTTATGCTATCCACTCACTCCACCATGTGTGTTACCTCTCTCTCCCCTTCTCTCTTTCCATCTCTCTCTTTCTTTCAACTAACATTTATTGGCCCCTAACAGTATGCCAAGGGGCTTCCCTGGTGGCTCAGCAGTAAAGAATCTGCCTACAGTGCAAGAGACTTGGGTTCAGTTCCTGGGTTTGGAAGATTACCTGGAGAAGGACATACCCACTCCAGTATTCTTGCCTGGGAAATCCCATGGACAGAGGAGCCTGATGGGCTACAGTCCATGGTGTCACAAGAGAGTTGGACACAACTTAGCGACTACACACAAACACACACACGACAGTATGCCAAACACTGTGTTAGGCAGTCTACAGGGACTCCAAAATTAAATAAGACTTGGTCCTGGCCTGGAGAGTAGGGGTCTGGGGAGAGAAACAGACATATAAAATGCTTTCATAGGGATCTCCTAGGATGTGCGAGGAACTTGAACAAATGACTAGTCTTCTTTACTTTTCAGTTTCCCCATCTGCAAAATGGGCAGGTTACCCCTACTCAGGGTTGCTGAGAGGGTTTGATGGAATCCCATAGGTTGGATGTGTGGCATAAAGAAAGTGCTCCATGTACTAGAGATGTTGCTTTTGTTGATGTCATTAGCCTTGTGTGTAATTCTTGAAATATTGAAGGAAGGGTATGTGATGTGACTGAACTGAGGGCAGGCTGAGATGGAATGAGACCAGACTGGGGAGGCTCCTTGTGCCATGAGGTGAGAGGCCTTGTATGTCCTCCTGGGGAGTTGGAGCTTGATACGGTTAGCAGAGGAACTTCTGTGTTTCCTTCCTGTTTGATTGTGATAAAATACACATAACAAAATTTACCATCTTAAATGTTTTTTTTTTTTGCCTCACCACATAGCTTGTAGAATGTTAGTTCCCTGATTAGAGATCAAACCTGTCTTAACCATTGAATCACCATGGAAGTCTCCCATCCTAACCATTTTTTTTTAAGATTTATTATTTATTTATTTTGGGTCGTGCTAAGTCTTCGATGTAATGCCAGGACTTTTCTAGTTCTAGCAAGCAGGAGCTACTCCTTAGTTCCAATGCACAGGCTTCTTATTGCGCTGGCTTCTCTTGTTTCCGAGTTTGGGCTCCATTTGTGTGGGCTTCAGTAGTTTCCGTGCAGGGGCTTAGTTACCCCAGAGCATGTAGGATCTTCCTGGAGTAGGGATCGAACCCATGTCCCCTGTATTAGCAGACAGACTCTTATCCACTGGGCCACCAGGGAAGCCCCCATCGTAATCATTTCCAAGTGTCCTGTTTAGTGACAATAGACTTCACAGTGTTACAGAACCATCCAGCTCCAGAACTCTTCTTGTAAAACCAAAACTCTGTACCAACTAAATAATAACTCCCTGCTCCCCTCCCCCTTCTTTCCTTGTTTCTGTCTCTACAAAGACGCATCTTGTTGGGAACCCAAGCAGCTGAGTCCCTGGGATTTGGTTGGGAGGGGGAAGGAAATCACTGGGCACAGACCTCAGGACAGGCTCTGGGTATGGGTGAAGGGAGATGGGAGCTCTTAATCCCTTCCTCCTCTCTGGAGATGCTGGAGGGAGGCCTGAGTTCCAGGGAGAGGTTGAAAGTTGTAATGGCTCTTTGCCCCCGCACCCTTCCTCAGCTTGTTTCCCTGTGAGCACTAGTGCTGCATGGAGTCGAGGGTTCTTCCCCCTCCAACTCCCAACCCTCCTCATGCTGACCCTCACCTTGACGAGAAGGTGTGGAAGGGCAACATTATCTAAACGTATAGAAGACACTCATCCTTTCTTTTTCAAGTGACCTTGGGGTTCAGGCAGGGCAGAGACTGAACCAACAGTCTTGAAGCCACCCCTGGGCCTGTGTTTACCAAGCTGTGCGTGTTGAGGGTAAGAAACAGGCTCATCTCTCTGGATTGAGGCTAGCCCATTACTCTGCTCCTTATCTGATGAATGGGGCTTCTCTGTTGATCAGAAGATAACGAATCTGCCTGCAATGCTGAAGACCCAGGTTTGATCCCTGGGTCAGGAAGATCCCCTCAAGAAGGGAATGGCAACCTGCTCCAGGATTCTTGCCTGGAGAATTCCATGGACAGAGGAGCCTGGCAGGCTACAGTCCATGGGGTCGCAAAGAGTCAGACATGACTGAGCAAATAACACTTTCAGCACTGTCTGATGAAGGAAAAGGCAAGTTGCTTCTCTAGGGTTTCACATAGAAAGAGCTATTCCATGTTTAAGCCCAGTTCAGCAACCAAGGGGCTTCCCTGGTGGCTCAGTGGTAAAGCATCTGGTTGCAATGCAGCAAACTCGGGTTCAATTGCTGAGTTGGGAAGATACCTTGGAGGAGGAAATGGCAACCCACTCTGGTATTCTTGACTGGAGAATCCCATGCACAGAGGAGCCTGATGGGCTACAGTTCATGGGGTCGAAAAGAGTCAGATATGACTAAGCACACATGAAGGGCGGGGGAGCAACCAGGCTTTATCCTGGGTAGCTCTATGGGTTGCTTGGATATGGGGGATATATACAAAGTGTAAGACAGGGACTTTCCTGGTGATCCAGCAGCTAAGACTTCATGCTCCCAATGCAGAGGGCCTGGGTTTGGTCCCTGCTCAGGGAATTGGATCCCACATGCTGCAACTAAGAGTTCGCAGGCCCCAACTCAGGATCCCAGATGTGGCAACTAAAAAGATCCTGCATGCTGCAACTCAGACCCGGTGCAGCCAAATTTAAAAAAAAAAAAAAATGGAGGAGGAAATGGCAACCCACTCCAGTAGTCTTGCTAGGATAATCCCATGGACCGAGGAACCTGGCAGGCTACCATCCATGGGGTCACAAAGACTCAGACACAACT